CGGTGCAGACGAAGGTGCTGAAGGTCAAGGCCGGTGCGAGGGCGAAACGATACCGCGGACGCACGACGGGCAAGTTGGCAACGTAATGAGCGCCAGGGACCGCTGGACGCGCGGCAGTAAGGCCAGCAGCGCCCAGTGGCGGACCCAAGGAGCGGTTGCAGAGCGCGCGCGAGGGCGGCAAGATGACCGCGGACGTGCGTAGGCGGCGGCCGACAACGAAGCGACTCGGCACGCGAGGCGTGCGCGAGCTCAAGATAATGCCAAGGACAAGGGGGCACAAGAAGAAGCACAACGACTCGATGGTCAAGATGCTCGACGGGCAAGGCGAGCGGCTGCTGGAAGACCAGGAACGTGATCCGGTGAAGGACACGAGGCGAGCGCCGTGGACGCAAGCGAACAGAGCGACAAGGACGGCAAGACAAGGAGGGCTACGCGGGATCTGCGTGGTCACGGACTCCTGTTGTCGAGGGGGAGTGTTGGAAGTGCTGCAGGCACGTAGGTGTAACCCTATGGTGGGGGTACACGGTTACGACAGCAGCGTCGTACCCACGACAGATCTTTAGGAGATTCTAGAAGATTCGTAGGGGCGACCGCCCAGGAGGACACGGAGAGAGAGAGAGAGAGCTCACTTCTCGATTGGTAAAGCCACTGACGAGGCCCCCGGCGGGGGGGCCGAAACGCGTCTGGCACGCGTTGAGTAGAGAGGTCGCACATGCATGCTCCAAGTACTTTCTACAGGTTATGAGCCCAAACGGCTCGGCGCGATCGACGAGGGGCGCACGATCGAGGGCAAGTTCTGGTGCTGACTCGCAACGACGACGGAGAGCCCGCCCGGATGCGAGGGCGTGGTGTACAAGTCAAGAGTGTCGATGAGAGAGATGGTGCTGGTTGTTCCCGGTGGATCGGCGCGGCGTTGGTCGGGACGCCCGCGAAAGGGGCGACCGAGTGCCGATGCGCGACGGAGGTGATGGTGTGTGCGGTGACGACTGATCGACGGAGGTCGATGGAGGAAGGAGACTCAAGCTCAGGGGGAGCACGAGGTGCTCGCGGCTACGAAGGCCAGGGGGAGCACGTTGGTGTTCATGGTGACGGTGCAGACGAAGGTGCTGAAGGTCAAGGCCGGTGCGAGGGCGAAACGATACCGCGGACGCACGACGGGCAAGTTGGCAACGTAATGAGCGCCAGGGACCGCTGGACGCGCGGCAGTAAGGCCAGCAGCGCCCGGTGGCGGACCCAAGGAGCGGTTGCAGAGCGCGCGCGAGGGCGGCAAGATGACCGCGGACGTGCGTAGGCGGCGGCCGACAACGAAGCGACTCGGCACGCGAGGCGTGCGCGAGCTCAAGATAATGCCAAGGACAAGGGGGCACAAGAAGAAGCACAACGACTCGATGGTCAAGATGCTCGACGGGCAAGGCGAGCGGCTGCTGGAAGACCAGGAACGTGATCCGGTGAAGGACACGAGGCGAGCGCCGTGGACGCAAGCGAACAGAGCGACAAGGAGGGCAAGACAAGGAGGGCTACGCGGGATCTGCGTGGTCACGGACTCCTGTTGTCGAGGGGGAGTGTTGGAAGTGCTGCAGGCACGTAGGTGTAACCCTATGGTTGGGGTACACGGTTACGACAGCAGCGTCGTACCCACGACAGATCTTTAGGAGATTCTAGAAGCTTCGTAGGGGCGACCGCCCAGGAGAACACGTAGAGAGAGAGAGAGCTCACTTCTCGATTGGTAAAGCCACTGACGAGGCCCCGGGCGGGGGGGGCCGAAACGCGTCTGGCACGCGTTCAATAGAGAGGTCGTACATGCATGCTCCAAGTACTTCCTACATGAGGTGGTCGCGGCATCTAGAAACTACTTGACTTGTTCCCGTAGTAAACCCACACTCTGGTCAGCGAGCAGATAAACCAATTTTAGCAGTTGGAAACAAATTACTTTAAGTACGTGGTTTATCATCGCTCAGCCACTTTTCTAATTTCCAGCTGACCGACATTGGCAGTAAGCTTAGTAGTGGCATCTTCCTTCGCCTCCACCAACATTTCAAAGATCTTGTGGTGAGTAGAGGTGGGCTTGGACGTCATGATTAGGTAAGAGGTCGCCATAGCTATGGAGGGCGACTACCAGGATGCCATGATCAGTAGACGTTCTGTAGTTGGATGGCCTGTCACGTGACGAAGGGCCACGAACAGGCAGCGCCAGACGATCGCGCGCTGGTGATCGACTTGACAGACGAGTAGTGTGGTGGACATCGACCAGATGGGGTCGTGGTGTACGGCAGGAGGCGTGTACGGCAGGAGGCGTGTGGTGAAGAGGGCAAGCCAGTGGACTAGTGCTACCGGCTGAAGGCGGTCGTTTAGCAAGCAGTGGGAGGTTGAAGTTGGCGATGGTGACGACAGAAGATCGCAGTGCGTGGGCGACACGCCGGGACAAGGGCGAAGAAGTATACGAGCGAGGAGAGGCGAGATCAAGGACAGGAACGTGAGGCTGTGAGGCCACGAGCATGGAGAAGGAGTCGAAGAGGGAGAGGTCCAGTAGGTAGGCAGGCACCCGTGCGTAGGAGTAGATACAGCGGGGATAGAATTGAGTAGGAGGATACCGAGCGGTGGTCGGCCGATTCGACCCTCAGTTGCGGTTTTTCACAGGATTGTGGAGAGTCAAGACTAATATACACGAGTTGCGCCGAACGCACGGGTTTCCGGTCTTTGGAGCAGCGACGAAGAGCGTCGGCCAAAGCGACGGCAATAGCAAAGGTATGGCAGTGGTAGGCCAGTGCACAGATGAGGGCAGTGTTCGAGTAGGGCGGCAGGACTGTGGAGAGAGACCACGGGGGCTGTGGTGTTGGAGCACCTCGGCTGAGTGGCGCGGAGCTCGCATGTGCCAGTGTGCGAAGGGCTCTTGCTGCCTACCGGGCTTTACGAGCTGGAAACAGCTAGTGGGGCTACCCGACCACTAGTGCTTATAACGTTTCCTCCTAGCCATCCCTATCCTAGCCATGCGTGCAGGCCAGTAACGTCTGGTCGACACTGAACGGCCTCGCACTGGAAGAGACCCTGCTTACCGAGACGCTCCCTAGGTGCTTAGGTGAGCAGCTTGTGTTAACGATCTCCCTCCGACGCGGTGCAAGAAGAAGGGCACTCGGAGTGGAGATAACGACATGGTGGTCATACAGGGGCCTTCCGGGTAGTGTCCATGAGTGGCGCTGGCGGCTTGGCTTCAGTGGGCTAAGCCCGTGGCGGAAAGAGAGGAAACGGAAACGATAAGGAGACGAGAAGTATACGATGGGCTAACGATCTTTGTATTACGGTAACAGAGTACTAGCGATGGAATGACGACCGAGGGAATGATGGCACGTGACGAACGAGCTCAACGCCGAACTGCGTCGGCGGAGCGAGCGGCGACGGAGGCGGCGAAGCAACAGCGGCTCCCCCAGCAACCGACGTCGGTGAGGACTTTGGAAACGGAAGACGGCGCCACGGTGACGTTGAGTACGGAGGAGATACGCCGTCCGACGGGCAACACGCCCGTGGCAGCAGGCGGCGCTGGACAACGCGACCTTGGCGGAGGTCAAGGCGGCGACCCTCCAGCTGGACAAGGCGACGGTTCGAGCGGCGGTGGCAGCGGTCGCGAGAACACGAGTACGGCTGGTCAGCCGATCAACACGAATACGAACGCGGACACGACGATGGAGGAGAGGACGGTGGACTTGACGGGAAGTGGCGGTGCTGGCGGTGCTGGCGGTGCCGGAGCGGAACACCCACCACCACCTCCACCTCAACCACGTCCAGCAGCGGCGGCGGCATCGAGTGGGCATGGTACGTCGCGTGAGAGTGCTCCTCAGCGGCCGATCATCGTCCGCGAGAAAGCCAAAGCGCTGAAGTTGAAGAAGTTCAAGGGCTTGGACGACTCCATACCCGTGACGATGTGGCTCAAGACGGTGCGCGCGGAGGTCAGGCACCAGGCTGTGTCGATGGGCGTCGCGTGGCAAGAGAAGCAGCTCTACCACGAGGTCGCTTCGCACCTCGAAGGCGAGGCGCAGCGCTGGTTCGCTACGGTGATGGAGTCCGTGCCGGAAGACGAGGAGAATATCAGCACCCTGGCCGGAATGCTGCGCGCCAAGTACATGACGCAACGCACCGGACCAGAGGTGGTTGACCTACTCAACGCGAGACGACAGATGAGAGGAGAGCGGTTGATCGAGTACGCGCAGTCGCTGCGCGAGATCGGCGAGCGCGGCGACGTCGGAGAAGGTTGGCTGGTGAATGCCTTCTTGAAGGGGATGAGCAGCCCCGAGGGCGCGACCCATGTGCGAGGCCACAGGCTTCAGACGCTGGATGAAGCAGTGAGCCTGGCGGTGCCCCACATCGGCGAGTATGGCGAGGGGTACGGCGTCGGGTTGGAGACGGCGATGGAGCGCTGGGATGAGCGCGAGACGTCGAGCGGACGCGGGCCCGTGCAGGGGGCCGCGAAGAGAGCCGGCGGCCAGGAACAGTCTGGGCTGGCAGGGAACTACGGGAGTGTGGTGACTGGCTACGGGCCCATGTGGGGCACGGCGGCGAAGCCGCCTAGGTACGACACAGAGGGCAGGCAGGTGAGCTCTGGAGGAGCCAGTGCGACCGAGTGGTGGAAGGCGATACCGCCTGGGTTCCAGCTGGTGCCCGCGGGAGCGGTGGGTACACCAGTGGGTACACCAGTGGGTACACGTGGCAGTTTGGGAGACGGTTCGAAATTTCGAACGGCCAGCAGTGACCAGTACGGGACGAGGGGAAAACGGCCAGCAACGGCTGTGGACCAGAACACAAAGCGAGCAGCCAAGACGCTCAAGGTGGAGGGCAAGTACGGCGGCGATGGAGCGAGTGGCGGGCAGTCCAACCCTGCGCTTGCGGCGCGTGAGGGCAGGATGATGAACCAACAGCGCTATCTGCAACGGCAAGCGCAGCCACGGCGCGAGTTCACGCCTCGGCCGGGCACGGAGTGCTACTACTGCGGACGTACTGGGCACTTTGCGCGGCACTGCGAGGTGAAGGCAGCGGATCTCAACGCCAGCGGCGTGAACACGGCCGCTGACGCGATGGAGAACACTACGGAGGAGTCGGGAAAAGGCCCGCGAGCGTAAGGGCCCCGGCCTTACTGCTCGCAGGCACAGGACCGGGTAAGACGGCGAGGAAGCCGTTGGTGGAACGGCAAGGACGGCGGCGAGATGGCGGTCGAGACGAAGGCCGTGGTCGAGGACGCGGACGACCCCGAGGACAGCGAGGAACGAGGGCGCTTCGAGTCTGGGGATGGCGCGGCGGAGAATGGCGCGCGGGAGGGCGGCGGAGAGACCGACGGTACGAGCGGAACTGGGGATGGCGCGAGAAGCGCTGGACTCAGCGAAGAACGGAATGAGCGGCTTAAGACCGGGGATGACGCCGAACGGCAAGTGGCGGTGGCCTCCCAGCCTAACGCCAAGGACAGCAACACCGGAGCGTCGACGAAAAAGCGCGTGCAGTTCGCGGACAACGCGGAGGGCGTCGACGAAAAGCCGTCGGCGAAGGACGCGAAGAGCACCACGGAGGCGACAGACAGCTGCGCCGCGGTGGCGGACCACGGTGGTGGGGCTGTGAACGCGATGGTGGTCCAGCGCGCGGAAGGGAAGCGCGTGGTGATCGACTACGGCAAGTTGAGGACGACGGACGGCGGTTGGATCGACGGCAGGCCGGACGAGGAAGAACTACGGAAGAAGGTGGACGCGCAGCTGGCAGCAGCGCTGGCGGCGTTCGAGCAGTCAGTAGATCGGTCAACGCGGGTGGCTATGAGTACGAAGGGCTTGAAGGACCCCGCGGACGAGATGAGTGCGGGAGGCACGAGCAGGGGAGGCACCAACAGCGCGACGGACGACACGCTGAAGGCGGAGCTGCGCGTGCGTGACAAGGAACAAGGGCTAGTATTGCTGGTGAAGGCCCGGCAGCAAGCGCATGACGAGGCGACGAAGCAGGAGATGGAGCGGCAGCTCCACAAGCGACGAAAGCGGCTCGATCACACCTAGGCGCGTCGAGAGCGGCGTGCTGAGCGTGAACGGATGGCGGCTGAGCTGGCGAAGAGCGGCGCTACGGCGGCAGCGGTGTCGACGCCCGCGCAAGGTCCCAGGGAAGGACAAGTACGGCTGGCAGACGGTGTGGCTGCAGGGTCGGATGTGGTCATGCCCCAGCCGAGCGACGAGTTTCGAGAAGCGTTGAGCTGGAGTGCCCGTGCAGCTCAGGCGCTGCAGGAACTCCGAGCCCGAGAGAAGGTGCTGAAAGATGGCTACGCTGACCTTGCGGAGTCGAGTCGACGAGAGGATCTGGCTGCTGGCAATGCGGTCGGCGAGGACGCGATGCGCGAGGAAGTGGCGAAGCGGCTGGTGGTGGCGGCCGCGGGGCTCGACGCCATTGGCGAGAAGGACTGAACGGCCGAGAACAGCACAATGCTGCAGCGGTCCAGGACGAGACGACGTTACGAGAAGCATGTGCGCAAGGCAAGGGCGAAAGAGCGGCGTGAGTTGCGGGCAGCGCTGGCGAAGCTGACGCAGCCAACGCTCGCGTACAAGGCAGTCGAGGAGGTGTACCGGCGACTGGGGGCCGACACCGAGCGAATGCTGAGTCGACAGGAGGCGGAGACAATTGGGTTCGCGTTGCCCAGCGCGACAAAGGTGCTGCGACGACGACCGAGGCGACAAGAAGATGATACACGGCAGTACGTGTACCACAGCGGCAGTGTGTACGCGTGCTCCCGCGTGGAGCAGGAGGACGACAAGACGCGACCGATGCGCGTAGGGAAGCTGCGTGCAGTGCAGGCACCGACGGTAGACTCGTTACCAACGGCGGTGGTGAAGGTTCACGGCGAGCGACGGAGAATCAAGCTCGACAACGGCGCACAGTACAGTGTGGCCGGCGAAGCATGGCGGCAGTACGGCGAGAAGCAGCACGGGCTACCTCCGATGGACTATGTTGAGGGCTTTACGGGCGCAGTGTCACGCGCCCTGGGCGTGTGGAGATTCACGTTTTGCACGCAGTACGAGCAGGCCATGACGGTCGATGCGCTAATCGTCGAGGGCGCGACGGAGGAGTTCCTGTTGGGTGAGAACTGGATGCTGGAGAAGGGCGTCAAGATCGACTTCGTCTCGTGCGAGATGAAGTGGTACGAGGGCGACACGAAGAAGATCGTGCCGTTTCAGTGCTCGGGCGGCGACGGACGGCCAGGGAGAGCGGCGAGAGTACGGCTGGCGAAGGCAGCGAGAGTGAGGACGTGGACGTGTCGTAATGTGGAGTTGGGAGTGGCAGCGCCCGAGGGCACAGTGGGGATATTCGTACCCGCCCAACGCGTAGAGCCACACCTGTTCCTAGCTCCTACATTGTCGACAGTGCGCGGAGACAAGGTGGTCGTGCCAGTGTTTAACATCGAGGGCAGATCCGTGAAGCTGCCGAGTCGCGAGGCGTTGGGTACGTGGGTGCCGACGGCAGACGACGTGGAGATACTTGAGATGACAGGCTAGTACGGGCATGACCGAATCAAGCAGTGGCTCGACGACCTGTGCCAGATCAAGACACCGTTAAGCAACGAGGACGAGTTGGACATTGGAGACATGGACGAGCACGACAGGGAACTTCTATTACAACTCTTACGGAACTACCCTGAACTGTTAGAGCCGAGAGGGGGATGCCCACCGATGACGATGTTGGGCGTGACCCATGAGATCCACACAGGGAGCGAGGCGCCAATTAAAGTGAGGCCACGGCGGCACTCACACTCAGAGCAGACGATTGTTGATGAACATGTGGAGAAGATGTTGACGGACGGGGTCATCGAGGAAGGGAATGGCGCGTGGGGCTTTCCAGTCGTGCTGGTTAGAAAGAAGGACGGCACAGTGAGATTTTGTATCGACTACAGGCTCCTCAATGCAATTACGAAGCGCGACGTCTACCCCTTATGTCATCGATGATACTCTGGACAACTTGCACGGTGCCAGACGTTTCACCAGCCTGGATCTGCATGCCGGGTACTGGCACGTGCCGGTAGCAGAGGAGGACCGAGACAAGACTGGCTTCATCACGAGGAAAGGACTCTTCAGATTTGTGCGGATGCCCTTCGGGTTGGTGAATGCGCCGGGGACATTTCAGAGGATGATGGACGCAGTGTTACGGGGACTAACATGGCAAAGCTGTTTGGTCTATTTAGATGATGTTATTGTCTTCTCTAAAGGAGATGTGGCACAGCACGTCTTGCACTTGGCGTCCGTGCTGGAAAGGTTGTCGAGCGCGGGTCTGTCGCTGAAGGCAAACAAGTGTGCCTTTGCGTCGACACGTCTGAACTACCTAGGACATGAACTTGACGGTGCCGGAGTGAGGCCGATGGCGAGTTTAGTGGACAGCGTCGTACGGTTTCCAACACCGACAGATGCTGCTGCTGTGAAGAGATTTGTACACATGGCGGGCTACTATCGGCGCTTCGTGCCGGATTTCGCGAGTAAGGCAGCGCCTATGACACTATTGCTACGGAAGGGGGTTGTGTGGTGATGGGCAGAGCCACAGCATGAAGCATTTGAGCGGCTGAAGATGGAGTTGACGCAGAGGCCTCTGTCGGCCTACCCGGACTTTTCGAAGCCCTTCCGGTTGGTCACGGACGCGTCGAAGGTAGGCCTCGGGGCCGCACTGACCCAAGACCAGGGGCAGGGCGAGCAACCGATCACCTACGCTTCTAAGATTAATTCGGAGACGGTGGCAGCGTACACGATCACAGAATTAGAATGTGCAGCGGTGGTTTGGGCAGTCAAATTGTTTAGACCTTACCTGTACGGACGCAAGTTTGAGCTCGTGACGGATCACGCGGCGCTCAAGTGGTTGATGACGTCGATGGAGTGGACCGGGCGGCTGCACCGCTGGGCTCTACAACTTCAAGAATACGACTTTGAGATTATCTACAGGCCGGGCTCGAGCAACGTCGTGGCTGACGCGTTGTCGAGGGCGCCGGTAGGAGCAGTGGTAGGAGCATCGGAGCAACGAGCAGCTGACTGATCGTGTCATTCGTGACGAGCAGGCGAAGGATCGCACGGTGAAGAACCTCAGGCGGAAGGGCAAGTACCGTGACAGGGCTATTGTGGTCGAGGACGAAGTCGTCCACATTGTCCAAAGCGATGGCAGTAAGAGAGTGTTGCTACCTACGGCGCTGTGGACGGCAGAGTTGAGAGAAGGTCATGACTCGATCTACTCGTGCCATTTGCGCACGCCTCAGACGTACGAGCGTGTGGCAAGGAACTACTGGTGGTCAGATATGCGGGCCTACGTAAGGAGATCGGTGCAGTCGTGCAGAGACTGCGGGTCGAGGAAGACGAAACCGAAGGAGGTGATTCCCCCGCTGAGAAGTCAGGGCGTGGGGAATGCAGGTGATCGCTGGGCGCTCGACGTGGCGGGGCCGTTGCCCGTCACACAGGAGGGCAATCGGTATGTAGTGGCGGCGATAGACTACGCTACGAGGTACGCGGTGGTGGCGGCTGTGCCCACGCACACGGCGCCGGACATCGCGAAGTTCATTGCGAACAAGTTGGTGTTTGTGTACGGCCCCATGCGTGAGGTCGTCATGGACGGTGCGCCGGAGTTGAACGGCAAGGTGTTGGACGCGCTGGTGAAGGCTCTACAGGCTAAGCAGATCACGCCTGTACCCTACAGACCGGCCTTGCTGGGGCTGGTGGAACGCTTCCATCGGTCCTGGAAGGACATGGTGGCGATGTATGTGGCAGAGGCTCAGGATGATTGGGATCAGTGGCTGCACTGTGCAGCGTACGCGTACAACGGGGCGATACACTCAAGCTGCGCGCGCCGAGCGAGCTGCTTCGCAGCAGCGGCGTCACACAGACCGGGCCGTTTGCGGAGTACTACCGCAAGCTGGTCGACAACATGGCAAGGGCCACGGAAGCAGCGCACGCAGCGTTGGCGAAGGACCAACTGCGTCGCGAGAGGTACTGCAATCGACGTGTACGACAGGATACGACGTTCGAGGTTGGAGACTTGGTGTGGGTGCTCAAGCCTCCACGAGGCAAGGGCATCACGAAGTTGGCCCATCAGTGGGTGGGCCCGGCGAGGATCGTGCAGTCGGCAGGGTTCGACAACTGGGAGGTCGTGCGCGACGACACGGACGAGCATTCGATCGTCCACTGCAGCTTCTTGGTGCCGAGCCGCTGTCCGAGCGACTCCTTGGGTGTGATCGCGGAGAAGATTATCACAGAGCTGGAGCTGGAGGACGACGACGCAGAGCTGCGGAGGAGCGACGGCGACGACGACGAGGAGCCAGTCGCAGTGCAGCCCGGTGACGGACAGGACGAGGGACAACACGATGGCAGAAGTGCTGTCGCTACAGCGCACGCGGGCGCTACAGTCGACGGAAGAGTAGTGACTGAAGGCCGAGAAGAAGGCCAAATGACGTCGCAAGCGGAGGAGAGGAGTTTCGCACGGCGAAGTACGAAGGAGACGACTGGTGGCGGAGAATCCACGACGGGCGGAGCAGGAGAGCCCGTGCCGACCAGTGCAAATCTGGCCGGACAAGACGCGGAACGATGCAGTGGGTGCTGTGACCAGTGGAGAAGCGCGTGCTCCAGCGGTCCGTGCACCCCGTAGTCGCGAAACGGCGAGGACGACGCCGGGAATAGCAACAGCGGCCGCACAGGACGCTGAAGATGTGAGGACGAGCTTGGTGGCGCAGCCAAAGCTGCCAGTAGGGAATCGAGGACGGAAGCGCAAGGTGGAAGCAGATGTCGAAGCCAAGGCCAGTGAAGAGACGAAGCGGTGACGACGACGAGAAGCCGACGCTCGTGAAGCTCGAGCAGCACGACGGCGGGCTGCGCGTAACGAGTCAGAAGCCACAGAAGCGAAGGCGGCTGGTGCAGACAGAGCTACTGGGGTTCATGCTGGTGAAGAAGCCGATGGTGACAAGAGAGGCGCTGCGCGACGAAGTGGCGAAGGGCAAGACGAGCACGTGCGCGTCGGAGAAGCTGTCGACGGTGACGAAGACGCAGAGGGTCGCGACGAACAAGGTGCGGTGGTGGATATGCTGCGCGGACGAGGACGAGCACGATGGCAGCCGCCAATGCCGGAGCTCCTGCAAGTGGAGACCGCTGGCTACATTGTTGAACGAGCACGCCGGCGAGTGAGCAACCGCGCAGGCCGCTACGTGCGTGAGCACCAAGTGGAGTACAGCACTGGGCCAGAACGACCAGAGGGACGGCGATGGCTCACGGAAGCAGCGTTCGAGCAGCTCGAAGATGCTGCCAAGGTCGAGGACGACCTTGGAACCGGTGATGGCGTGTAGTAGGATGGCCTGTCACGTGACGAAGGGCCACGAACAGGCAGCGCCAGACGATCGCGCGCTGGTGATCGACTTGACAGACGAGTAGTGTGGTGGACATCGACCAGATGGGGTCGTGGTGTACGGCAGGAGGCGTGTACGGCAGGAGGCGTGTGGTGAAGAGGGCAAGCCAGTGGACTAGTGCTACCGGCTGAAGGCGGTCGTTTAGCAAGCAGTGGGAGGTTGAAGTTGGCGATGGCGACGACAGAAGATCGCAGTGCGTGGGCGACACGCCGGGACAAGGGCGAAGAAGTATACGAGCGAGGAGAGGCGAGATCAAGGACAGGAACGTGAGGCTGTGAGGCCACGAGCATGGAGAAGGAGTCGAAGAGGGAGAGGTCCAGTAGGTAGGCAGGCACCCGTGCGTAGGAGTAGATACAGCGGGGATAGAATTGAGTAGGAGGATACCGAGCGGTGGTCGGCCGATTCGACCCTCAGTTGCGGTTTTTCACAGGATTGTGGAGAGTCAAGACTAATATACACGAGTTGCGCCGAACGCACGGGTTTCCGGTCTTTGGAGCAGCGACGAAGAGCGTCGGCCAAAGCGACGGCAATAGCAAAGGTATGGCAGTGGTAGGCCAGTGCACAGATGAGGGCAGTGTTCGAGTAGGGCGGCAGGACTGTGGAGAGAGACCACGGGGGCTGTGGTGTTGGAGCACCTCGGCTGAGTGGCGCGGAGCTCGCATGTGCCAGTGTGCGAAGGGCTCTTGCTGCCTGCTGTATATAACCGGGCTTTACGAGCTGGAAACAGCTAGTGGGGCTACCCGACCACTAGTGCTTATAACGTTTCCTCCTAGCCATCCCTATCCTAGCCATGCGTGCAGGCCAGTAACGTCTGGTCGACACTGAACGGCCTCGCACTGGAAGAGACCCTGCTTACCGAGACGCTCCCTAGGTGCTTAGGTGAGCAGCTTGTGTTAACGATCTCCCTCCGACGCGGTGCAAGAAGAAGGGCACTCGGAGTGGAGATAACGACAGTTCCTTCTCTTGAATTAGCATGCAAAACACACTATCGGCTTTATTTTCAACTTACTTTGCTTTGCTAAGCAGCCACTGCCTCTCCAGCCTTGTCGCGAGGTCCTTCGTTTCGTCGACCTCTTTCGCTACCTTGAGCAGTTTTGCGAGCTCTTTCTTCGAGTAGAGGGGTTGCAGCACCGAGAACATGACCTCGTCCGCAGTCTTGGGGTCCAGCTTCGTCACGTAAGCTGCCCACCAAGTTAGCTCCGGTGACTCAAACAGCAACGAATGTAGCCGGTTCAGCCTTAGTCGATTGAAAGCTTCCCTCGCTGCCATCGGTTCGCTGAGCCACATCTGCTCAAGCAATCGCCGTCCGAGTTCCTTCGTGCGACTGCTAGCTTCTGCCTTATAAACCATGGAGCTGAGTTCTCTTTCATCGAAATGTTTCTGCAGTACCAACCACATGGTCTTGTAAGGGTCCTCCTTGTCCAGCTTGGTCACGTACGAAACCCAAGTGTTGAAATCGCGAGACTTAAACATCTGGTCGTGGGGCTCGTTCAGCACAAAGTTGAAGACTTCATCCGCGGATTTCTTCTCACGCAGCCACTTGTCGAGAATTATCTTCTCGAATTTTGCTGGCGTGTCTTCAGACACCATTCTTCCAGTTGACACCACTCTCGCCAGCTGGGTCTCGGTGTGGTATGGCTTCAGCACCGATAAAATTATATCGTCGGCATTTTTCGGATCGAGCTTGTTCACATAGGCCACCCAGGCCCGCGTACTCTGTCTGAACAAAAGGAAGTCTCCTTCGTCGTCCAGCTTCAGCAGCTTGAACATAGCACCCGCAGTTTCCCCCTCCTTCACCCACTTGTCGAGCTGTGCTGCCTCCAGTTTTCCAGCGATGGCACTTGTAGTGGCCTTCGTCTTCTCCTTAATCAGCATCCCGACGAGCTTGTCATCGGTATCTGTGAGTTTTGATGTCTTCAGTTTGGTAAGCAAGATCGAGTACGGGTTTTCGTCCAGCTTCTCCACGAAACTCAACCAATGGCTCAGCAGTGGGTTGTCTAACACGTTATCCACATCATCGTCCAACTTCAAGAGCTTGAAAACGTCGTCTGCCGACTGGTCATTACGGAGCCAATCCTTTATCTGAGCCCGCTCCAATTGACCAGCCATGACCTTCGTACCCGAGCTCCCCTTTGCTGCAACAAATATCTTGGCCTGAGCATCGTCTGCATAACTCGTCTTCAATGTCGACAGTATTACCTCGTCCGCCTTCTTTGGACTCAGCTTCGTCACGTAGTTGACCCATGTGCTGAGCGCCGGGCTCTTAAAAAGTTTGTCTCCTTGGGTGTTGAGTTTCAGCGTCACAAAAACTCCCTTCGCAGTTTTCCCTTCGCTCAGCCAAACCTTCTGCTGCACCTCCTCCAGTCTCGCAGCCACGTCACCCATGAAGCGCTTCTTCGACACGACAAGGATCCTGGCTATCTCGTCGTCGCCGTAGGTTGCTCGAAGTATTGAGTACATTCGCTTGTCTGCTTGTTTTCCTTCCAACTTCGTCACGTAGGAGACCCAGGTGCTCAGACAGGGGAGAAAACCGGTAAAGAGATTTCCGCCTTGATCGTCGTCCAGCTTGAGGAGCTTGAAAATATCGTCCGCGCTTTGAGACTTCCAGCTCTCGAACAACGCGCTCTCCCCTTTCTTCGCAATAGACGACGTAGCAGGGTCTTGCTTCGCTCCAACAAGCATGTTCGCGATTGCAGCGTCGCTAAGCCGTTGCGCCTTCATCTTCTCCAGCAGCAGTTGGTACGGATTTCCCTTCGTCTTCTCCACGTAGGACACCCACGTGCTCAGGTGTGGGCTCCGCATAATTCCGTACTTCTCCTTGTCCACCTTCAGCACACGGAACACGTAGTCTGCCGTTTGTCCCCTGCTCAGCCAGTTGTTCGCCTGAGCCTCCTCCAGTTTGGCTGCTACCGTTCCCGTACTTGGCACTTGCTTGGCCTCGACGAGCATCTTCGCGAGAGCTTCGTCCCCATACTGTTTCGCCAAAGTCGCTGCCCCAGCCATGTCAGCCGCTTGTGAGTCCTTGTAGCCATTGGTGACGGCGCTGGTCCACTTCTGGAACTGCGGGTTTTCCAAGATATTGGTCTTTTGATTGACCAGTTTCATCTTGATGAAGAGCTGAAGCACTTCTTCCTCTTTCTTCGGTTTTGCTGATAGTTTCTCAGTAATCTTTGAAACGAGGGAGCCGACACCAAGGACCCTCTCTTCGTTGATTCTTGGGTGCCTGTGAACTCTCAAGGAGCGATTCGAGCTGACGCCCGTCGTTGAGTCTACGACCGCATCATGACAGGATGAAAATCACAACCAATATGGCGACTAACTTGACGGTCATCGTGTACTACCAGCCAGCTACCTCGATGACGATGTGTTTGGAGGCGGATTGCGAAGTGGTAAATAGACCTTGCTGTTGATTCGTACTGATTTGGCTTAGTATTTTCGCGATTGATTACCATCCATGCCCATTAGTATGAATTGCAAGTTGTGTTCTGCATCTTCATGCTTCATGTCGCTATCTTCGCACGACTATTGACAGGTTGCTGCTCTAGAAGATCCTGTACGACGTCGGTGCGCGACGACGCTCCCATTGCGTCTCGTGCGTGGCCCAGTGCTTCCACTCTAGAGCGTCAAGCGTGTTGGCGATCTCTGTCGCGAGCTTCTCGTCCGAGATGATCTTGGTCTTGTCCGCCTGCTCCAGGTCCTGCACCTTGCGCAGACGCTGCAGTGCCAAGCCGAACGCGCTCAAGTGGCGGTCGTGCAGCAGCGCCACGTGCAGGTACGCGTTCGTCTCGACGTCATCCCACTTCTGGAGGTTGGTGTACGCAATGAGGAAGTCGTCCCATTGAGCGGAGTCGCCCAGTGCGCGAGCCTTGCGTGCAAGGGCGTCGGCCAGGATCGCCTTCTCTTTCTCCTTCTCCTTGCGTAGCTTCTTCTCGGCTGCAAGCTGGTCGCCAGGGACGCTCCGCGTACCGAAGAACAGAGCCAGCTCGTTCTGCTTAATGAGAGCCAGCACGGCGTCGGCCGCCTTGATCACCTCCTCCAGCTGCGATGGTCGGCTCGCCTCGGCGTCGAAGTGGTGCAGCTTTGCCTGCATCGCTGGCAGGTGGTTCGGGAACTGGCCCACGAGGCGCTGCCACGCCGGCAGGAACGTAGGCTTGCCGACCAGCTTCGTCGTCCGCTCCAGTAGCAGATCGCGCACAGCTTCCTTCGCGACCTCCTCCTCGTCGCGCTCGTCCTTCGACTCTTCGGGTTCCGGATCCTTCACAGGGGTGAGCTCCGGAGGAATGACGTAGGTGATGTCGAAACCACCAGGACGTCTACCATTCCTGCCAACAGACAACAACAGCAGCACAAGTGTTAGGACTGCGCAGTATCCCCCCAGCGCAGATGACTTACCCCTTGATAGCGCCGTCCTTCTGTCCGAAGTAGATCTTGCCCGTCAGAACATCTCCGACGGCATTCCCGGCCGGAAGCTTGTCATGAGCGGGCTCCCCGACGAAGAGGGGAACGTACTTCCCGGTCGGCAAACTCCTCTTGTCTAGGGGCTTGCCACCCAGCGCAACATCATCTTGGTGACCGAACACAGACGCAGGGATCTCCTTGATCTCGTGGTTCAGGAGCAGCACCATCTGCTTCAGCTTCTCCAGCTTGCTCACATCCTCGTGTCGAACTTGAGCTCGAACGACGTAGGAGCCCTTCTTCAGCATCGTCTCGTCGCCGTAGGCGTCCGAGCAGCCCAGATACTGCTTCTTGTCGTCGAAGATCATCATCAACTGCGCCTCAAACGGTGACTCGTACAGCCGCCCATTCAACAGCGGCAAGTGCGGCACCACTTTGCCCGCCTCCTTCTTCGTAAACGGGTACGTCAAGATGAGCTGGTACACTTGACGCTTGTCGGGGAACTGGTCGCGGCTAGAGCTCAACGGGGTGATTTCCGCCGTCTTCGGACGGATGCGCTGAACGTACTTGGTAAAGCTCACCTTCGGGGCCAGAGTCTCCGTCTCCACGGAGCTCGAGACGAGCACCTTATGCGATTCCACGCCGCCCGTGACCACAATCTTCTCCTGGTCGGGCTTAATACCGTGGAAGCGGACCTCAATTTGAACGATCGAGTCCCCCAGCGCGCTCCAGAACTGCCCCAAACAGAACTCGGTCGTCAGGCCCCCCAGCGTATCCATGCTAAAGGCGAGCTCCTGTCCAGGCTTGAGGTAGAAGGCCTTGTGGAATGACGACAGGCTCTGGCGCACAAACGGCTGGAACTGCAGCGCGTCGAACATGTACAGCTTGCCCGACGAGTTCGACTCCACCTCACGTTTACCGTTCGAGCTGGCGCGGGTAAAGATAATGTCCGCCCATGTAGCTCCGGCCGGAGGCGTGATGAAGCGCCGAGAAATGTCGCCAGGCTGGAACTTCTTCTGGTACACGACCACCGACGAGGCCTCCTCGGGCTTGATAACCACCACCGGGATCGTAAACAAAGCACCTCGCGCTTCGTTCTTCGTGTCATAAGCAACGATTTCACCGTAGTGCTCACCAGCGCTCAAGTGTTTAGTCTCCACCAGCACCTTGAAAGCGCGACCGCCATGCATCAGCGCTAAGCTCCGGCCCACGTCAATCCAACGCGCAGAGGGAACAAGACGGACGTGCTGTTCAAAGTGAACCTTGTCCTCCTGAACCGCCTTCTTGTGGAAAATGGGCGTCACCGCGACGTTCACCTCCGTGCTGTCGTGGGCAAAGTCGGCGCCGTCACGCAGGAAAACTCCGCGCGCGTTTCCATCACCTGAGGACGTCTTGATCTCGTAGTGCAGAGGGAACTTTTTGGTACCGTCGAACGTGTTGCTGCCCGCGAGGTACTCGAACGCCGGCAGCACTTGGATCAGACCCTTGCCCTGCGCGTACACTTCCACGTTGGGGACCTTGACCGCAGTGTTCTCGAGAGCGCGACGGATCGAGTACGGCGTGTACTCCACCCCCTGCGCCTTCAAGCCGCTGACCAGCAGCGCGATGTTTCCGGCGCAGTTCGGCGAGGACATGGACGTGCCGTTCATGAGCTGCTTCTTGTTCAGCGTCCAGTTGGGCACTGGGGCGATGGCTGCGCCAGGTGCGCAGATGTTCACGCCCAAGTCTCCATCAAACGTTGGGCCACGCGAGGACCACGTGTAGGCGATACCCGACAGGTCGTTGTCGCGCATAATGTACTCGGCGTCCATCATCTTGGGCGACACGTACGCTCCGACCGCGAGCATGCTCGACGTTGTGCCTCCAGGGGCGCCCACCGTCCCCAACGCCGGTCCGTTATTGCCCGCACTAACCACAAAGGTCACGTTGTGCTCGTTCACCAGTTCATTGCTGAGCTCCACGATGCGTCCGTAGTCGTGCTGCGACGCGTACTCGCCGTAGCTCATGTTCACCACATCAACCTTGGCATCCATGACGGCCAGAATGGCGCGACTCAAGGCCGACGACGTCTCCATGCTACCCAATCTCCCGTCTCCGATCTTCACTGCCACAATCTGCGCTCCAGGGGCGATGCCGTCGCACTCGGGCTGCTCCGGGTAGTGCGCAGCCACGATTCCAGCCACGTGAGTGCCGTGCGCGCCCACGTCGTTCACCACACTCAGCGTGTTGCCCTCATCGTAGATATTCAGCACGTAGTTGAGCTGCGACTCGTCCGGGAACGTGGCGTACTGCCGCTCGTCCTTGAAGTTGGTGAGCGCCGGAACATCAGAAAAGTCCCCCGTCTCCTTCGTGTCCAGAGCTGCGCGCCACTTGCTGCCGTCGTAGAACACCACAGCGTCGTAGACGGGGCCCGGGTCCTCGTAGCTCTTGCTGAGCTCCTGCAGCTGCGTGAGTCGAGCCTGGAGGTCCTTCTTGGCCCTCAATTGGGCCGTGCCATTGGTCGTGGGGCTGTTCTCCTTGCTCCACTGGGCCAGCGCCTCCTGCACTTCGTTGACGGCCGCGCGCTGCTGGACGTCGAACTTCTCTCTGCGCTCGGTCTTGAGTCGGGCCATTAGGGGCCCAGGGAACAGGTGGAAGCCCACGACGGTGCCCACGTGGTACTTGCCGTCCTGGCTGGGGCTCCACTGAGGGTTGAGCGTCAGCACGCGGCCGTTGGGCAGCGTCAGCTTGCCGTCTGCGGCCTCGAGGACTGTGGACGTGTCCACGTCCCCAGCGCCGGTGGCGTCCACGATGTCCACGATCTTGGGGCGGCCGTCGGGCGTCGTCTGGAGGCCGATGGCGCCGGGGTCGACGCCCGTGTCGAAGATGGCGACGACGGCGTCGCGGCCGTCGTAGGTCGGGAACTGCTGCAGGAAGCGGTCGGCCAGCGTCTCCTCCTTGGGCAGCAGCGACGCCGTCGGAAAGGACTTCATACTCTTAGATGGGGGGGGGGGGATTCCGACACACACTTCAAGTGTATTTGGCAAATTTGGGAATGAACGACGAAAGTGGATCGGTGTTCGCGGATAAGTACGAGGATGCCACATCATGGAGATAGAGAAGGGCGTACAGTGCAGGTAGAAGAAGAATGAAATTGATAAACAGGATGTAGACTTGTCGTAGAGCTGGCTAAAGAAACCTAATTCTGCCGCTGGGGGATCCATACAGGCGTAGATCATCGTCGTCGATGGGTTCGGGGAAACCCAGACGGCGCAAAACTGTCTTTATATCGTCGCTGACGAGATGAAACTCGGCCGATCGGCGATAGAGATGCTGGTAATGTTGCCGAAATGAGAAGCCCAAGCGAGGAATGCTGGGGCTGACCACGCGAACACCGTTGAAATGTATGTCATTCCGTAGACGCCACAGAGCGTGGAACACAATAGTCGTGTGGATGTGCCACAAAATGAGAAGAGTGTCGCGTTGGTGGCGCCAATCTTCGTGGACATCGCGGTCGGACGGGAAAATCAGCAACCGCCACCCCAGTGAGCATCGAAAAGCAGGAGCCCAAGGCTCCCACAGCGTCTGCCACAGTATCTGGACGGGCTCACACTCAAAGAAGCAATGAGTGGCGGTTTCGAAAGCGCGGCAACCATCGCGTACACAGTGCTGCGCTAGGGGCGACGTCGCACTCAGAAAGAAAAGTCGCGCCCCCAGCGTCAGATTTCCAAAGTAGAGTCTCATGGTGACATCGTGTACTACAGGAAGCAGAACCCGACGCATCCACCTCCATGCTTTAATCCACCCCGCGACCTCACCCTCGGTACAGCCCAATGCTGTCAGTGGGTGAGGTTTCGGTACTGCAGGGGTGCCAACGAGCCATTTCCAGTCACCATCTTGTAGGTTGGGGAAAAACCGCACCGATCGCTGCCGAACAACGCCATAGAGGACTGGGTCGGTAGTCGCTGCAGGCACGAAACCCGACAACGACGAGGGATTTGTCCGGCAGAGGACCTCCGAAAGCTGGTCGTACAGTTGAAATATGTCCCCGTGGCGCACCCGCGGGTAGATCGGCCGAACAGCATCAAACATGGAGCTGAAGAACACCATGGCCGAAGGCCAATGTCGGCGGTTGTCCAAAAAGTCATTCAGAGCGTGGTAACCCAGGCTTGCCAGTGTGCGGCACAAGCGACCAAAAGTGATCGAGCCAGCCCCAACAGGAGCTTTGGGTCTGGATGCGTGAAAACTCGGTTCCACATTCCACCACAGGGGGCTGCAGAGCGCGTAGTGGCGGGTTTGAAACTGGGATCGTGGTAGGCTCGCGATAGGGTCCCAAGGTACCCGTGCCCAGAGCCGAAGGGCGTGTCTCCACCAGGACGGTAGCATTCCTTGTCGCCATCCAGGGGGGCGAGGAGGGTTTTGCATTAGAAAATCACATGTCCATTGTCTGGAGAAAACGCCAAAACGAAGGCGGAGGAGCTCAGCGATGGGTGGATACCAAACCATCTCAGGATGATTCAGGTGATCCGTCATGGCACGAACAATAGTTTGTAGGAGCTTCAGGTGCTGGCGCTTGATAAACGACGCAATAAGTGGGATACCCAATCCACCATCTTCACGTGATCCACTTGCGATATCTGCCTTCACGAGATAGACACCGTTGCCACCGAGGCGGTTATACAGCACGTAGCTCTGGATAACCCTCTGCCAGCGAGTGAGAAATCGAACAGGAACAACCATCGTAGTGGTGAAATACCAGAGAAGCGATAATACCATTGTTTGCACTACAACACGGCGTCCTTCCAGCGTCCGAGCCCGACCCCGCCACAGCCGAAGCTGAAGTAGGAGTTTCTGGTCCAGTTGAGTCGCCAAAACAACGGAGTATCCCTATTGCCAAATGGCATGCCGAGATATCTAACTGTTTCGTGCCGTAGGAGAGACCGTAATGGCTCTAGAGTGGGGGCAGGCAAGTTGTCATTGAGACTCATTATCCAGCTTTTGTCATGATTGAGTTTGGCCCCCGATCCCGCGCAATACAATTCAACGAGGCGCAGTTGTTCCCTACAGTGTAGGTAGAGCGAGTGGCACAGTTAGAAAACAAGCAAAGACACTACACTAACTCACTGTAGGTGCTGCTTGTACAGTAAATGCGTTTGTATGCTTGCTGCTCTATTACTAGCGTTTAATTCCCGGTGCCGGTTGTCTAACTCGATTTCGCGTACGCACCACGGCGTTGCCAGAGTAATTTAGTGTTAAAGGGGTAATTATTGGTAAGAAGAACTTCTCGTTCCAGTCAGTATTCGATAACTGCAAGGGGTTTCAAGATGAATGATTGAAACCCGTCAAAGTCCACAGACACATTAGGCAGATTTGCTAACAGTTAGCAAACGCTAGTGTTGGCTATCTGCGCGAACACTAATGACAGTAGACGATAGTGTGCAATTGGGTAAGGAGGCAAAATTGTTTTAGAATCGATGAACCCTATCGCGTCAATTGATCATGCACAGACAGCCATGGCGGTATCGTGCGTTTTTCCCACTCAGATTAGATTTTTTTTTGCTTCCAGGCTTACTTAGCCTTGCTAAGCAGCAACTGCTTTTCCAGCCTCGTCGCGATGTCCTTCGTTTCGTCAACCCGTTTCGCTTTCTTGAGCAGTGTTGCAAGCTTTCTTTTCGAGGGGTAGAAGGATTGCAGCACCGAGAACATGACCTCGTCCGCGTTCTTGGGATCCAGCTTCGTCACGTAAGAGGCCCACCATGTTATCTCCGGTCCCTCGAAGAGCCGTGCTGGGAATAGGCTCAGCTTTAGTCGAATAAACATGTCCTCCGCTGTTATCGCATCGCTCAGCCACATCTGTTCAATCAATCGCCGAGCAAGTTCCTCCGTGCGGCTGCTACCTTCTACCTTGTAAACCATCGATCTGAGTTTTGCTTCGTTGTAATGTTTCTGCAGTGTCAACCACATGGTCTTGTAAGGGTTCTCCTTGTCCAGCTTGGCCACGTACGAAACCCAGGTATTCAAATCGGGGGTCTCGAAAATTTGCTCGTCAAACCGTTCCAGTACAAAGTTGAAGACGTCATCAGCAGATTTCTTCTCGCTCAACCAATTGTTGAGGACGGCCTTCTCGAATGTTGCTGGCATGTCTTCAGACACGGACCTTCCCAGTGTAGTATGTCTTCAGCACAGACATGATAATCTCGTCGGCACTTTTCGCATCTAGCATGCAATCCAGGCCCGCACAGCCCGTGCATACAAAAGAAAGGTATCTCCACCATCCAGGTTCAACAGCTTAAAAGCATCAGCCGCAGTTCTCCCCTCCTTCAACCATTTGTCGAGCAGAGCTGCCTCCAATTTCCCCGCGATGGCAATTGTAGCGGCCTTTGTCTTCACCGTCAACAACATGTCGACGAGCTTCTTGTCGGTATTGGTGAGCTCGGATGTCTTCAGCTTGGTAAGCAAGATCGAGTACGGGTTTTCGTCCAATTTCTCAGCGTAACCTACTCAGTTGCTCAGCAATGGGTTGGCCAACAAGCTATCCACATCATCATCCAGCTTCAAGAGCTTAAAGACATCATCCGCGGACTGTTCATTCCGAAGCCAATCCGCTACGTGAGCCTGTTCCAACTTTTCGGCAATCGTCTTTGTAGCCGCGCTCTCCTTCGCCGCAAGAAACATTTTGTTCGTTTTAAGTTGAGGTACATTACAGTCATTTAGGCTAGCTAACGACCTAGTAAATGCCCGGCCCTCCCGCGCTTAAGGATCGTTGGAGGGTGTGCTGCCTACGCCCAAAGGGTGGCAGCAGATGCACACGTGTTACGGTGCGCCAGTGCGAGGGGAGGCCCGGCCAATGCCCTCCCGATCCGGGTTGGTGTCCATCCAGTGCTCAACGTCCGCTTGGAGGGACTCGAGTACGGTTGTCCACTGCGGCGGTAAGCGGGAGATATCTTCCGCCGTCGCCTGCTTGCTTTGTTTGGTGTCCATAGCAATGTTTGCTAGGCCGTCCGCTGCTTTGTTGAAGTGCCGCAGGTGATGTGACCATGAAGACACCATCAGTCGGTCCGCCAGCACCCGGCACTGTCCGTAAAGTCCTTGTAAGTGACGAGCCCTTGGTACCCGTCGCTTCTGCAATTGTGTTAGGATGAGATTGCTGTCGCCAACAATATGCAATCCCACCATTGAGTGCTGTACCGAATAACGCAGGCCGTTAAGGAGAGCGCGATATTCAGCGACGTTGTTCGTGGTCTTCGAAACGTAGGAAACGCTGGCCAGCCAGAGGACGGCGGGCTGGAGGATTGCGCCGCCAAGTTGTAGGATCACCGTCCCCGCGCCAGCAGGGCCGGGGTTTCCACGAGCCCCGCCATCAAAGTAGAGCAGGGTGTGCTGTGAAGTCGGAGCGGGGCGCGGCAGGCTCTGCGTCTCCGGGGAGCAAGAAACATTTTGGCCAGGATGTCATCGTCGTAGGTCGTTTTTAGCGCCAATAGGATCAAGTTATCTGCGTTCTGGGCATCCAGTTTAGTTACGTAACTGGTCCATGTAAAGTCGTCTTGAGTGTTCAGTTTCAGGCTTGCGAGCATTGCCTTTGCGCTCTTCCCCTCACTCATCATGGCCTTGTGCTGAATCTCTTCTAGCCTCTTAGCCACATCGTCCGCAAGGTACTTCTTCGATCCAGCTAACATCATAGCCAGCTCATCGTCACCGTAGGACGCTCGAAGTACCTTATACATCTGTTCGTCTGCTTGGCTCCCTTCCAAGATCCAAGAGTCCAGCCGAGGGTAGTTGGAAACGTGCTTGCCTGCGGTGTCGAGCTTTAAAAGCTTGAAAACGGCGTCCGCGCTTTGAGGCATCCAGCTCTCGAGCAGTAGCTCCTCCACTTTCGGGACGGTTGTCGACCCACCCGGTTCCCCCAACAAAACCCGCGGCTACATCATCGCTATCACGCACCATCATTTTTGTAAGCAGCAGCTTGTACGGATTTTCATCCTGCATCTTCACGTACTTGACCCAAGTGTCGATCACGGGTCTCCACAAAGAAATAGATCCGAGCTCCTCAAGTTTCAGAGCCCGAAGCAAGGCATCTGGAGTTTTTTCGTGCCCAGCCAATTCTGCAGTTGTGTTTCCTCCAGTTTGGCGGCCATAGTCTCAGCACTAACGATCATCTTAGCCAGTGCTTCATCGCCGTACTGAGCTGCTAAGGTGGGGGCCATTGCCCTTTGTGCCGACTGGAAATTCTTCTTGTATCCTTTTGTCACTGCGCTGGCCCACTTCTGGAACTGCGGGTTTTCAAGAAGCTTCGTGTGTTGATAGGGAAGCTTCATCTTCATGAACAGCTGAAGCACTTCGTCCTCGTTCTTTGGTTTCTTCGACACCTTTTCGACAAGCTTCGAGATGACGGGAATGTTAACATCAAAGGCTCTGGCTTCGGGTACATAGTCCCATGATGGCTTGTGAGCTCTCAAGTACCGGGTAGAGCTGGCTCCCAGTTCCTTCGACTCTGCGGCCACAAGTAAAGCATCGGTGCGCGCTGACAGAGCGAAAATCGCCACTATTACCACGCGACACAAACGCGTGGCCGAGTTGGTCTTGAAAGTCATGCCAGGAGACGAGAATACCAAGCGTCTTGGGGGCGGATTCCACAGTGATAAGGCACCAGATCGGTTGCTGCTGGCTTGAACTATCGCAGGATTGAAATCTAGGATAGGCAACAGGAATACGGTAACACCTGAAAAGCTACTACATGAGCCGTGGCAGCACAATACATTGTCGTTCTGTGATTGAAGAAAGTCTAAACTTTCGGTTGTGAAGTACAATGTTTCAGGCTTCGATTTCGTGAGATGTCTGGAAAAAGGAGTCTTACACGCTCTACTGTATCGCTGCCTTTTAGTATTCGCCCAAACGCAAACTGTATAGGTAACACTAGCGTTGTGTTAATGTGTAGTATATCCGGCTAACATGTTTGTGGAGTAACTCAAAGGCTTTAGCTAAAAAGAGTTGAAGATCGTTTCACTTGTCGTAAGCTGACTTGTACGTGAAGTTCTTCTTTTTTACACCAAATATGATCGCTTCAAACTACTTAGCACTAGATTACGCTGGCTGCACACATGGAATATAGATTCATCAACGAGTCATTAATTTGGCATGCTAGTGATAGAGTAACTAACAATCAAACGCTTTTGCAAACAGCACTTGCAGTGAGTTAGTGTGTTGTGAAAATCACGAACATGTTTGTGGAGTACTACGCTACTGCCGCTACTTACCTTGCGACGTCCACGCTTTCTTGCTGCATCTCGCTCGCAAAGCATTCCTTAGGCTTCCGCAACGGTGCTCGTCACTTTCTGGCATATGTCGACTACACCGTTCACCCTAATTAGTCGTGCCATGACTATTTACCGTGTACGACCTGAAGGGCGCCTCACCCTGTTTTGAATTTCAGTTTTCTCGGAAACAATTCGTATTTACTGAAAACAAAATGTACCACGCAATTCGTATTGCCGAGATCTACCCGAAACCGGTCTCTTTTCTCAATTTAAGGTGAAACTAAAAATATTTTTCAAAACCGGTGGAATGATTACCAAAGGTGCACGACTATTTAGGCCACACGACTAATTAGGGTGAACGGTGTAACAGCTACACCGTAAAAGTTACTGCTCACATTTAACTAGAAATGTGAAGTTATAACGATCATTATATCGTTACTACTAGAATGGTGAAGTCATAATGATAGTTATAACTTCATCTTTCTAGTTAAATGTGTGTAGTAACTTTTCGCGAGCGACGGCGGAGAGCGCAAGTGCTTTTGAAACTACAGTAGTTCAAATACGCTGATCCAGTTGCTTCTCCTAAACCTCGGCAGGTCATTGACTTTTCAGCAAGCTCCAAGATGACTGGAACGGTACCGTACTTTATTTCGGCGGTTAGAATCACTAGGCTGATTAATGGATTAGTGCATTTCGATCGATAAGTTCCAGCGACAAACGAGGGTTCAAACAAATGGTAAGAGGAACTACAGTACACTGGAGTGAGAAAAAACGTATACCTCGCCTAAGTTGATATTTGAGGTAAATGTTACCTGGCAGCAGGTGAAAACTCAAATAGCTACATTCGAGAGACTGGGTCGAAAACTTGGCATTTACGGGTCAGATAGAAAAATACTTACTGGGGCGGTGCTCAAAAATCGATCTTCAAGTGGTATTTGATGGCAAACCTATGCTTTGCATTTACACTGTTCCAGTTTTCTCGTTTTTCATTTCAGAATTCGCCCATCAGACCAACCACCCAACTGACCTCGTTGTGCTGTCATACTAAGGCTCCGCGAAGGTTGGGATGGGAGGATTTTGGTATAAACCCCCTCTTTAGTTTTATTGATGCCTTTCTTTTTTTGTTTTTGAATTGAGGATCATTATTGTCACTTAGCTAATACGATCGCTAACTACTACTAAAGACCGGGGGCGTCACCTGTGCAAAGCGTCACTAGGGAGGGGGCTCTCTGGACCAGCGTCTGGTGGGAGAGTCTGAAAATTAGTGCAAAGCGCGACCTCAAGCGAGGTCAGGTGGTTCGTACTCGCCACCCACGAGGTCGGCAGATACAGGACGGGGGTCCTGCACCTCCTGTTGTGCGGCCGTCGGCGCTGTCCCATGGAGACTTGACTTGAGCGTTAATCGCGTTCGTCCGGCGCGTGCTGAAGGATGCGTGAGCCCAGGCTCTAACAACATCGGATGACGGCAGCATCCCGAAGGACACCGCCCAAATGCCTCCGTGGAGGCGTGGCTTGAGTGCTTGAACCGCGGTCGCCTGCCGCGAGCTTGAAAGCGTGGTCGAAGGCTGGGCCTCCCACCACCGTGGCAATGACCCATAGAGTCGCCGCCCTCTTGGAGCGCAATCGCCGTCGTCGCGCGCGAGCTGCTCCTGTGCCGACTCCCGTCGTCGGCCATGGACACGCGCAAGCCGTCGCTGCAGCCGTCATGCTCCTTCCTGGGCTCCCTAGGGAGGATTCTCCCAGGAAGGCCAAGGGCCCGGAGATCCTTGGAGGCGACCCTTGGCAGACTCTTGCTCGCGACCCGTCAAATTCTGGAATTGATGTCTTTTCTTATGAGCTACGGTCATCTCATGCGCCTGCTTCGCAGCCGCAGCATCTGCCCGAAAATTGTCCTTAAGACTGTAGATGCCAGATATCAACTGGCAACGCTTTACAACAAATGCGAACCTTGGCTAAGATATGTTTGCAGCTTGTAGAAGTTTTATACTTGAAAATGAAAATGCTTATTTCTAGTGCTGCTACAGTCCGCCTCAATCGTTCTCTTTACTTCAATTCGAGCACTGCTCGAATATACGTACTGAATCATACCAGTGTCGTCGGTTGCACACCGGTTGGACCTGCCTACGCATATAAACCTCTTGGAGGCCCCAGTGCGGCACCGGATTCATTCGGGTGTAATAAATATTTTACCGGTTCGACTTGCCCACACCTATAAACCTTTTGGAGGGCCCAGTGCATCACTGGGGCCATACCGGTTTCAAGAAAATATACCAGTCAGATGTCAAGAGGGGTCATCGTTTGACTTGACGTACCACGGATATAATCCTATTTGGTCTGCGATAGCAGCACTAACGTTGCTTCCAATCCCAGTATAAACTTGCATTTGGTGGTTTCGAAACCACTTCGACGCTGCACGAAGGGAAGGACGAGGGGGGGGGAACCCTCTTTCCCGAGCGCCAGAGGTAGATAGTGTAGTCAGTCTGCAATTTCCGCAGTAGTTTTCACTCGTCACTTCGCGCCCGCGACACAACACGAAAAACATTTTCCCCCACTGATGGAAGTTGTTGGAAATGAGCTATCCAAGACCGTAGTCGACTTTACCGAGGTCATAGCCCAGGATCACAAGCATTTGGAATTACATTGGGTGCCGGCGGCGCAACGCTTCTACTGTTGGAGCTGTATATTAATCGCGTGTAGCAATAAAAAGTTTTGCTAGGCTATGAGTTCACACAGGGCATGAGGCGATGGAGTCCTACACGCCTTCGGCTCCAACCCTGGTGGGCAGCCGACTATAGCGCTGGCGGAAATGCAAACATGAAGTAAGCTTAGACGTATCCTGGCCTCGGGATTCTCTCCATTCGAATTAGAAAAAAGTCTCGAGCTTCTCAACTTACCTTCCTTTGTTATACAGCAACTGTTTCGCCAGTCTTGTAGCAAGTTCCTTGGTCTCGTCGACCCCTTTTGCTGCCTTCAGCAGTTGTGCAAGCTCTTTCTTCGTGTAGAGAGGTTGCAACACCGAAAGCACCACTTCATCTGCGTTTTTGGGATCCAGCTTCGTCACGTAAGAGGCCCACAATGTTACCCACGGTGTCTTGAACAGCCGGAATCGGTCCTGGCCCAGCCTAAGCTGTTTGAAAACGGCCCCCGCTGTCTGCGATTCGCTCAGCCACTGCTCTTGAAGCAACCGCTGGCCGAGTTCCTTAGTGCGGGTGCTTCGTGCCGCGTTATAAACCATAAGGTCGAGCTCTTTTGGGTTGTATCGCTTCTCCAGCACCGACTACATTGCCTTGTAAGCGTCGTCATGGTCCAGCTTGGTCACGTAGGAAACCCAAGTATTCAGAGCGCGAACCTTAAAAATCTGGTCGTGAGGCTCTTCCAGCACAAAGATGAAGACGTCATCCGCAGATTTCTTCTTACGCAGCCAATTTTTGTAGACGATCTTTTCGAAAATAGCTCTCATGTCTTCAGACAATTCCGTTCGCTGTGACACCATGCCTGCCAGCTTGGCGTCAGTGTAGCATGGCTTCAGCACCGATCGTATTACTTCGTCGGCATTTTTTGCATCAAGCTTGTTCACGTAGGCCAACTAGGCCCGCAGAATGCATTTATACACAAGGTAGAGTCCTGGGCTGTCCAGATCCAGCCGTTTGAAGACATCAGCCGCGGTTTCCCCCTCCTTCAACCACTTCTCGAGCTGGGCAGTCTCCAATTTCCCCGCGATGGCACTTGTTGTAACGGGGTTACACGAGAGTTACCCGAAGGGATATGAAGTGGGTACACACTGGCTAACCTAAATCAGTAGGAGAATCAGTACATGGCTTCAGAGCCACTGATTATGCATATGACAGTTAAGAGTTAAGGGTTGACTCTTGGAGTCCGTAAGGTGTACGGACTCGTACATTCTGGTATTAGAACGGGCTATCTTAAGCTGAGACTCTGCGAGTCTGTTAAGCTTCCTCTGACGCAAAGCTACGGCAGCCCCGCTGCACTTGGTAGCACTTGTAGTCAATCCGACACTTGAGTCTGTATAGACTGACCCTCTGTGTAGAATTGAGCAGTTCGCTCACTTGCCCCCGAACCAGCAGGATGCGCTTAAAAAGCTTATGTCCTTACTGGGCCCGGAATGGCGTGACGCAACTTGCGCAGCAAGGCCCCGACGCGGTGAACGCGCGTCTCGAGGAGTTTTCAAGCTACGAGAATGCTCTGCCAGAACACCTCCAGAGGATGGCGACGGCCGCGGCGCCCCAAGCGCCCGCTTTGTCATCCGACGCGGGGACAAGACCCAAGCCGCTCATGTTGAGCGTGAAGACCTTCGAAGGCAAGGAGGGTGAAAGCTTGATGCTTTCGACCCGTGAGGTTGAGATGGCTATGAGCTCAGCGCTACTCCGGACGGAGTCGCAGCACGTGGCACTAGCTATCTCGAAGCTCGGTGGGCGAGCGAGAGAGTGGGCACTAACGTCCGGGACGTCGGTCGAGGTGGCCTTCCCGACGTGGGACCAGCTGAAACAGCAATTGTCCCGAGTGTTTGCTCCGCCTAACGAGGCGTATCGCGTGCGCTCACGCTTCCTGGCGACCAGGAAGAGCAAGAAGGAGTTGGTGGACTATGTCCAAGAGTTGAGAACTCTCATTGCTGACATGTCTGCGGACCCACTACCGGAAGCAGTCACCGGTACGGTGTTCATGGAGGGCCTTCGCACTGGCGTTGCCAGAACGGAGGTGTTCCGAACCCACCCGAGCTCTTTTGAAGAGGCTGTGAGCGTTGCATTGAATGCGGAACACAACTTTAAGTTGTCGAGACTTGGGTGGAATGCGTCTTACGCTAGCGCGCCGAGTGGTCCGGAACCCATGGACCTCAGCTATGCTGAAGACGAAGAAGCCGAGCTTCGTGCTGCTGAGCAGCGTCGCGGTATCCGCAGATGCTTCATCTGTAGTGACACCCGTCACCTTCGTGCTGGGTGTCCGCTGCGCCATCAGCGCCAGGCTTCGTCAAGCCGCTCTTCGAGTTCGAGCCAGGACTTTGGTTTGTCTCGGGGAAACGAGGAGTCCCAGTAGGCGCGGGGCGGCCTACTGGGGAAGAACTAAGTTCTATTGAGCCTCGGCGAGGTGGAGGTCGACAGGACTTAGCCCCGAAGAGAGCCGTACTCTCTAACACGGAACGTGTATGCAAGCCGGGCTTGCTAGTTGTTCAAGCTTGGGTGAAGGGCTTTACCAAGCCATGGACGATTTTGATCGATTCGGGAGCGTCGGGTAACTTCGCCCGGCGTTCTACGATGGACGGAAGTCAGCTTTATGCTGAGGCGCTGGTAGCGCGCGGGAGTGACATCGTCACTGTTCGTCTCGCGACGGGCACTCGTGTCACGGTGCCTAAGGTCCCTGTGGACCTGGGCGTGAAGTTTTTGGATTTTGATAGCGTGGAACGCTGTCTGGTCTTAGACCTCGATTCGAGATATGATCTCATCCTTGGTATGGCGTGGCTGGAACGCCACGAGCCTTGGATCGATTGGAGGTCGAAGACCCTTGGTGCTACGCACTTCTCTCCTGGCGGAGCATTGGCGAGTCATGAACCCACCTCTGCTAGGAAGCAGAAGCGCTTCTGGCGCGAGCGCTGGACCGAGTCGGTCAATGTGGTGGACATCGGAGTCTCCGAGTTGGTGGACACTGAGTGTGTCGAGAACGAGCGTTCCGAGCGTGGCTCGCGGACGGCAGGTGGAGCGGCACGAATTCCGCTGAGCGGGTGTGCGTCTGAGGGCGATGCCCTGCTGTATTCAGGAGAAGACAAGTCGGCATGAAGCCGAGGAGCCATGGGCGCGGCCCGGCTGTTGAAGGATGTGGAGCGGCACTAATTCCACTGAGCGGGCGTGCGTCTGAGGGCGATGCCCTGCTGTATTCAAGAGAAGACAAGTTGGCATGAAGCCGAGGAGCCATGGGCGCGGCCTGGCTGTTGAAGGATGTGGAGCGGCACTAATTCCGCTGAGCGGGCGTGCGTCTGAGGGCGACGCCCTGCTGTGTGTCGGTGGAGGCGCGGTCGACAGGAAGTCGAGTGAAGATGGGCGTTGCCCGGATGAAGATCGTGGAGTGGCACATAATCCACTGAGTGGAGGCTGCGGATCGTGCAGCTCTTCGCTGAGTGTCGGTAAAGACACTGGGGCTCCCCTGGAGCTGAACGAGGTGGTGACACCTGGCGTCAAGACGCACGCGAAATCACGGGGCTCTTCAGGGCGGACGGTGTCCATGAAGAGGAGGCAGCGCCGCAAAGCGCTGGCTGCGAGACACAAGGCGTCTGCGATCTCACGAGTCGAGAAGGGCGTGTCGAGCGGTGAGGCTCCACGCGAGAGCGAGCAGCTCTATACACTCGTGAATGGAGTGACGGGCGACGTCGACGGAGGTATCAACCTCGACGACTTGCCCTCACTGTCTGCTCTCCTCGAGCTGGACGAGATGGCCTTGGCCGAGTTCGGCGAAGCCTTGAAGGCTGGAGACTTGGCTGAGGTAGTGGTCATACGCCCCGAAGAAGAGTTGAACTCGTCCTCGCTTCTGGATGAAGCTGTCCTGGAAGACACCAAGAAGGTGCTGAATGCGCGGAGCGGATCGGCGATCCTGAAGGACCCGTCGGATCCCTTGTATCAAATGGTAAGGGATTACCAGGACGAGGTCTCGAAGGAGCCGCCCTCGGGGCTACCTCCGGATCGAGGTGTTCGACACGAAATCGATCTCGTTCCGGGAACGAAGTACTGCGTGACGAGGCAGTGGCCCTTGCCGAAGGAGCAGTGTGACGTCATTGACGCGCTCTTCCGTGCGAAGCACGAGGCGGGCATGGTGCGTGAGAGTAAGTCTCCACACTCTACGCCGACATTCTGTGTCCGAAAGCCGAATGACAAGTGGCGTATCGTGCATGCTTTCAACAAGCTGGACGCCGCTACCATTCCAGCGCAGACGCCGATTCCTCGGAAAGATGTTCTTCAGAACAACATGACAGGATGTACGATGTACAGTGCGCTCAACTTGGTCGATGGATATTACCAATTGCTCATGAGGACGAGCGACATTCCTCTCACTGCGGTGAGTACTCCGAGCGACATGCTCTGGGAGAGGTTGGTGATGCCCCAAGGGCTTTCGAACGCGCCAGCGACGTTTAATCGTCTTGTGACGCAGCTTTTCAGGCCCCATCGGGCGTACTCGCAAACGAACTTCGATGACATCTATGTCCACAGTCGTGCGGAGGACGGAAAGACTGATATGGAGAACCATGTCGAGCACCTGCGTGCTGTGCTCGAATGCATGCGTCAAAACAAGTTGTACGCCAACATTGACAAATGCATCGTCGGAGCGGAAGAGATCCCCTTCTTAGGGTGCTTCATTGGGAAGCGTGGCCTGAGGGCCGACCCGGTCAAGGTCAAGGCCATTGTTGACTGGCCAGTTCCCAAGAACCAGATGGATCTTCGCAAGTGGCTTGGCTTGGCCAATTACTTGCACAAGTACAGCGAGAATTACGCTGAGATGGCTCGGCCACTCTTCAATCTCCTGAAGAAGGATGCGGAGTGGTGTTGGGACACCGAGCATCAAGATGCGTTCGCGGCCATTAAGGACAGGCTCCTTCATGCGCCTATTCTGGCTCTGCCAGACCCCGCTCGTCCGTTTAGTGTCGTCTGTGACGCCTCGGACTTTGCCATCGGCTGTGCACTGCTGCAAGCAGACGCCGAGGGGCGCGAGCGCATGGTGGCGTTCGAATCTCGCCAGCTGAAGGCTGCGGAGAAGAACTATCCTGTCCATGACAAAGAGCTACTTGCGATGAAGTATGCGCTCGTCAAGTTCAGGGTGCACCTGTTGGGCTCTCAGCTGTTCGTGATTTACACGGATCATGCGTCGTTACGCACTGCGACTCAGTCGCCTCACCTCTCGCAAAGGATGGCCCGTTGGCTGTCCTTCTTCGCGGAGTACAACTTCGAGGTGAAGTACAAGCCTGACAGGCAGAATGTCCTTGCGGACGCGCTGTCGCGCAGGCCGGATTATGAGCTGGTTCATGTAACGACCGTGACTTCGTCATTACCGGATCTGATCCGAACGGCTTATGCCAAGGACGACACTTGTGTCGCGTTGCTAAAGGCTCTGGGGAGCAAGGAGTTTCAAGACGCGGGCATGGAATTGTCAGCGCGGCTGCGCACGCGGCTACACCGTTTTTCCCTCGATGGAGGCCTGTTGTTCTACAACACTGGCCCCGAGGATACGCCCCGCGTGGTCATCCCTCATGATGAGGATCTGAAGTACCGCATCCTCTATGAGGCGCATGACACGCTGCTGGCCGGCCATCTTGGCCGTGAGAAGACCTACAGCTCGGTGAGCACCCACTACTGGTGGCCGAAGATGTACAAGTGGACGAGCACTTATGTGCGCACGTGCGAGGCGTGTCAGCGCGTGAAGTCGTCACCTCATGCTGCAGCGCCGTTGGCGAGCTTGCCTGTGTTGGCAATCCATGAGTATGGACTTTGTGTTTGGCCTGCCGGCGGACGCGGCGGGCAACACAGGAGTCGTGGTCTTCGTGGACCGACTGAGCAAGATGGCTCACATTGCGGCTGTGCCGGATACCATCGATGGTAAAGGTACAGCAACGCTGTTCTTGGACCGAGTGTTTCGACAACACGGCCTCCCTGATTCGATTGTCTCGGACCGAGACCCCCGCTTCACGGGCAACTTCTGGAGCGCGGTCTTTGCGGTGCATGGCACCAAGCTGGACATGTCCACGGCCGACCATCCGCAGACCGATGGTCAGACCGAGCGCGTAAATCGCGTCGTCGAGGACGTGCTCCGCAGCATTTGCGCAGAGACGCCGAAGCGCTGGAGCGCCAAACTGCCACCGTCGAGTTTGCGTTGAACAACGCCATGGACGCCTCGACAGGCTATACGCCGTTCTACGTAAACAGCTTGTCTCATCCCCGCGTCCCGCTGACGCCGCCACGTGGTGGCCTCGGGCTTGGTGGGGGAGGAGAAGCCGATTTAGCTGATCGGCTAGCCAATGTCAGCCCGGCTACTGTTCGTAAACAGGTTGACGCCTTCTTGTCGACGCGTCTGAGTGTCTTACGACATGTGCGTGACGCAATGGCTGAGAGCCAAGACAAGCAAAAGGAACATACAGATGCCAGGGAGAGGCAATGTTGAAAGTTATGAGGTCGGGGACCTGATGTTGCTTAATGCTAAAAACCTACCTACACATGCAGTGTCAGCCGTCTTCAAGACGAAGTTGCGCCCGCGCTTCATCGAACCTTTCGAGGTTGTGGCCAAGAAGAGCCTTGCGTACACGCTCAATCTTCCGAAGAAGATGCGGACGCACCCCGTCTTCTACGTGGGCTTGCTCAAGCCGTACCAGGACCCGATGCAGGTGCAGATGGAGGCACCGAGGGTGATGAGGTCACAGGCGCGGAGGTCGCGGTCGTCGAGGACGCAGTCACCGGCGTCGAAGACGCGACCATCGACGCGGGCACCGCAGGCACAGGCGGGAGTGCCACGGACACTGCAGGAGCCACAAGCGCAGGAGGCGCAGCAGGCGAGGCCTGCATGCGGACCAGGAATTCGAGCTGGCCCTGGAGCACAGCCTGGTGCCGCTGTAGCTCCGCGAACTCTCGAGCGTGTCGCTCTTCGCGGTCACGAAAGTAGTTCATCCACCCGTTCAGGCGAACGAAGTCGTTCTCCAAGGTCCCAAGTCGGTCCCAGACCTCCCAAGGCACCCCAAGCCACTCCAGCTGCTCAGCGAGCCTGTCGAGATCAGTCGCACAACGTGCCAGACGCGCGTCGATGTCGTGGACGCGGTCCCGAAGGCGATCCGCCTGTTGCCGAGTCTCGTGCAACTCGTCGAACGTCGCGAGGCGGCTTGGCGCGTCCTCCACCGGCGCTGCTCGATGAGCATGGGAATCTACATTACCATGTGGAGCGCCTCCTGGCGAAGCGGCGATGCCGGGGTCAAAGCCAGTATCTGGTGAAATGGCGAGGGTACCCTCACTCCGAGAACTCATGGGAGTTTGAGGTACCCCTCCGCCAGGACTGCCCAGACGTCGTGGACGCTTTTGATCAGCTTGATCACCAGCGCTCCGAGGGCTCAAGGAAGACACGCCGGTCGTCCCGCGCTTCCCGGCAATAAGCTGGGGAGCGATTGGGTCGGCCACATTGCTCCGAGGCTGGCCCTGAGCCACAGCGCTCACTCCCTCGCGGGAAGGAGCGGCTGGAGTGCTCGAAGGAGCGAAGCGCGCAGCGCTAAACTGGGCCTGCGGCTGGGCGAATGCCGAGAGACTGCGCTTGGCTCAAACCTTCGCGAAATCGAAGCGGAGCTTGCGTTCAATGCGAACACCCACTTCACTGAAGATGGCTCGGAGAGCATCCATGGAGCTGAGCTTTCGGCTGCGCTCGGCCCAAGACTCGAACTGAGCTTCGTACTCAATTGAGACTTCCCCCGGGCTAAGTACCACCGGGTATGTCCGCATGGCGGGCACCGACTTCTGCTTGGCTTGGAGCCGCCGGCGCTCGCGATACTCCGCGATAGTCGTAGACTGTGGGGTGAGGAGTCGCTCTCGGAGAGATGTTCGTAGAGCGAGCTCCTGTGGAGTACGGGCCGCGGGCCTAATAGCGTGCACTGCGAGTGACTGCAGGAACGCCTGGCGACACGCCTCCGCGGGATCGCGAGGCCGGAAGCCGTAGTCGGCAGCGCTGGGATTCAGCAAGGGCCGCGGCTCAGGGCGCTGGGAGCGCATGGGCGCCACCTGCGCCGAGACCTGCTCGGACTGAGCCTCGTCCAAGGGGTTGGAGATGACGGGTCCCAGGGGCACGTCCTTGCCACGAGGCGGTGAGTACCGTGGCGCAGTGAGCGCGCGCAGCTCGTAGAGACCAGACGAGCGTTCGGGGAACGGATTCGGAGTGCGCAGCGGTGGCCGCGGCTCCTCCCTCGATGGCGCAGTGCGCTCAGTGGCGAGACGGCTCGGAGAGCGCACAGGAGACGTGCGCGCGGGGCGCTCTTGATCGCGACGGCTTGGAGAGCCAACTGGGGCCGGCGAGCCTTCTTCACGGCGTGTCGACGGTGTGGGCGAAACGTCGCCGCGGCTCGGGGAGCGTCGCGTGAGTGGGGACGCATCTCCTCGGTTCGGAGAACCCTCCATGGACTCGTCCTCCTCGCCCTCTTCACCAAAGAGTTCCTTAAGATCCATGATCTGACGGGTCGGTGCTCGAGGATAGCTGGGGCTTGCGCGCTTCAGGCGTTGGGCCGCGAAGTACTCGGACACCGAGAGCCTGGAAGGCGTCAAGGGTGTGCGCGCGGGCGCTGGCGTTCGCGGAGGTGCGGAGGCACGCAGTGCAGCAGCACGAGAGGAGCGAGGCTCCGAGGCGGATCTCGCGAGAGGCTGTCTGCGGTCGAAAGACCAAAAGGCTTTATCACTTGAAGTCATGTGAGGGCGCGTTGCGCCGAGAAGTTCTCAGAGAAGTCCACGCGAATGTGGATTGACTCGTTCGAGAAGGAAGCTTGACGGAACAAGACCCGGAGGTTGACCGTTAAGCGTGAACACCCGTGTCCACGGTTTGGTGGGGGAGGGTGTAACGGGGTTACACGAGAGTTTCCCTAAGGGATATGAAGTGGGTACACACTGTCTAACCTAAATCAGTAGGAGAATCAGTACATGGCTTCAGATCCACTGATTATGCATATGACTAGGGTTCACTTTCTAGCATAGTGAACCGGATACATTTACACCGTAGGCGGCTTTGCCGCAATAAAGGGAAATACATTCAGTTTGAGATTCACACAGTTAAGAGTTAAGAGTTGACTCTTTGAGTCCGTAAGGTGTACGGACTCGTACGTTCTGGTATTAGAACGGGCTATCTTAAGCTGAGACTCTGTGAGCCTGTTAAGCTTCCTCTGACGCAAAGCTACGGCAGCCCCGCCGCATTCTTCATCTTCACGTACTTCACCCAAGTGTCCATCGCAGGTATCCACAAAGAAATATGCCCGAACTCGTTAAGGTTCAAAGCCCGAAGCAAGGCGTCTGGAGTTTTTCTCTGGCTCAACCAGTTCTTCGTCAAACCTTCCTCTAGCTTGGCAGCAATGTTCTCAGTGCTCGGTACGTTTTTCACCTCCACGATCATCTTTGCCAGTGCTTCATCGCCGTATTGAGATGCCAAGGTGGAAGCCATCGACCTTCCAGCCGCTTCGGAATTCTTCTTGTATCCTTTTGTAACTGCGGTGGTCCACTTCTGGAACTGCGGATTTTCAAGAAGCTTCGTGTGTTGATAGGGGAACTTCATTTTGGTGAAGAGTTGAAGCACTTCATCACCCCTTGGACGAGACTTTGGGCGGAGAGACGGTTTTATCGATATACCGTCTCCCCTCCCAGGAGGAGTCGGTATTCCCGGTATTACCGTCTCCCCCTTGAAAAGTGTTTGGAAAAGGAGACGAAACTTCCGTCTCTCCTCGTCGTCGACTGCTGCGTACTTTACGCGCTGGTCAGAGTCTCACTGGCTCCTTCTGCGATTGGTCAAAGCGATGCCTAAGCCTGAGGCGTACTTTGCCTTTCAGCAGGCCTTTTGACAGGCCTGGCTGCAATATTTTGCGATCTTTCCGCGAAGTTCCTACAGAATACACTAAAACGCTGGTTCTCTATTATAGGATAGATTATGGGCCAATGGCTCTCTCGAAACGGGAGACGCAGTACACTATCGTATCTTCTAAGTGCGTCTCCGCGGGAGTTTCGGGGAGACGTTAAACCTCGGGAGACGGTCTCTCGAGGTTTTACGTCTCCCGTCTCGTGGGGAGAGATCGTCTCCCCCGCGTCTCGTCCGAGGGGTGCACTTCATCCTCCGTCTTTGGTTTCTTCGACACTTTTTTGGCAAGCTTCAAGATGACGGGAATGTCGACGTTAAAGGCCCTGGCTTCATATTCCCTCGATTTCTTGTGAGTCCTCAGGTGCCGATTAGTTTGCTCGTAGGCTGACTTGAAGTCGAGAGAAGCCCTCGGGCTAACGCCCAGTCTCTTCGAGTGTGCGGCCACTAGTAGGGCATTGACGAATGCTAACAGAACGATGAGCGCCACTAGCGCGATGCGGTACAGACGCACGACGGAGGGGAGAACCATGCCCGGAGTGTTTGGAGGCGGATTCCAAAGGCTGCCTGCAGTACTCAATGATGTCGTTGGATCTAAACTAGGATAGGCAAAAGTACACTAATGCCTTCAAAGCACTACGAGAACCGTGACAATATATTGTGCGAGAAACTGCTTTAACCTCTGCAAGTTCATCTAGAACCACCAGAACGACTAACTTATGGTCAGGCGCGTTTCCGGAATCGGTAATGGGGCAAAAAAAAACTTATACGTGCCGTCAATGCATGTAGTGCGACGAGGTTTGAGAGGACGCAATGGGCCTATTTTCCCGAAGCGGCGCACGGATGTCACGCGATCACAGTATTCCGACAAATGTATCGGGCCCTACTTCCTCCGACAGTCGGAGTCGGACAGATCCGGGCCGTAACTAGGCCTCCGCCGCGCTTTGAATGATATAACCCATACTAATTTTTTACCTAGCCCCGTGCCTCCCTTAGAAAAAGGGCGGTGCCCCCCTAGAAAAAAGCTCTTGTTACGCCCCTGGGACAGATGTACAGTGACACCTTCCTAAATGAACCCCTCTAACTGACTATGTGTTCTTTATCTGGTTAGGATTCCTCGAATGCAAACGGGATTACATAGACTTCACTATAGGTGTTCTATAACTGACCAAAAACCTCTTTATTCTCTAAATGGACGCCGTAGTAATAGATCCAAACTCATATATATTTCAAATAAAAAAAATTAAGTGAAGAGAGAAATTGTATTTGAGATGCTAAGTTACATCGGAACAAAGAGTTTGCAGTAACTGTATGCTTGTAAATACTCAGTAGTCATAGTATTTTACAATTAGCGCAGCGGACATTTATATTTTGCGAAAAACTGAAATATTATGATATCGGGGCAACTAGGGGGTATGCAGTAGATACCGAGCAAAAGATAAAACTGCACGCATGATGGCAAGATATCGGGACAACAAATATCCCTATAACCTTACTGTATTGAAACTCATTACCTAACTCTAAATGAAACACAATATACCTCACCATGAAAATGAAATGTATTGAAATTCACGTACAACCTCTGGGAATGCGATTCTGATAATACCAATGTGAAAAAGGAGCAGGAACTGACAATACGCGCCTTCCGTTATTGGTTGAGTTCTGTCTGTGTGAAGACGAAACATAACATGAGTACGAAAATACCGGAGGGGTACGGGGTAAAGCCCTTGTATTGTGCACCTAACATAGGAAAATGTAGCCATTAAAGTGTAGCCATTTCAATATCTGATCAATTCTTTAACCGAAACAGCGTCTTTGACCGAACAAACTGGGTGTCATTTATAGAGGTGTGACTGTATCGAACTATCCGGACAACGACCGATTAGAAGCGAGACTTGCCTCTGACTGGCCATGAGACTGGCAATCTCAGTCAGGAGAAGCGTGACTGGTTGACTGCATAATACGAATTTGAAGAGTTTGATACTCTTAAGCGACTTCGTGCTCACAGCGGTGACCAATGTGGCAAGATAATCCTTAATGTCACAGTTGGTCCCCAGACATGCTTAGCCGAAGATATTCCAATATGCTCGCGTAATGTATGACCCTATCGTTAAACGCAAATGTCCTGCTTGAATTTAGGTATAGTCCACATAACCTGGCGCCACGTAACATTCACCCAAACGTCGGAGTAAAAGCTTTCATCGATCGCAGTGTACTACTCAGCGGCTGTAAAAATGAATATCAATACAATAGTTATGGCATTTTAAGCACGAAGTAATTCATTTTTGCTTTAGGACGCTCCCTTACAATGGAAAATTGTCCCAATACAATATTAACACTTGCGCCCATACAAAAATTAAGCTTATTACGAACAATCCCGTATATATTTATTGCCAATAATTGTAAACATTTTGTATTATTGGCTGACCCTGTATTGCAATGATTATTACTGCGACTCCAAAACCAAAATACAATATAATATTTTATTTTCCGACCTCTGGTACTGCTGCTTAAGGCGAAACCTCATGGGTCACAAAAAACTTTACAAGTTGGAACTTACAACACCCAGCGCAGGTAAATGAGATGGAGACGCTCCAGACAACCGAGACGTGTGTTCATGGTGATGGGCTCAGGATAGATCAGCTACAGATTCATCGATGACACGGAATGAACAAGGCTAACAGTACGAAGATATCGATAGAAACACTAAACAAATTTACTTTAGTTCACTTTACTTTACATCTACGTTGGCTCAGCGACGGCGCGTGTGCGTAGGCGCTGCCGACATGCTCGCCGAATGACGGCGCTGGCAAGTGACGTTTGTTGGGCCGAGGTTCCGGTTTAAGACGTTACGTACGCTCGAAGACCCTGCGCTCAGTAGTTTTGCCACGCGTTTTAGATTTTCCGTATCGCTGAACATCCGACCACTACGGAAAACCCGTAGTCCAAGTCACGTATCAGCGCAACGTGTTTTTCGCTACGTATTTTTAAAAACTGTTAGTGCAAATTGCGAGAGACAGAATTGTACAGGAAATAGCCCTGGTATCAAAGTTGAAGTTGTAACTTGCGAATATTTTATGTTTTTTAACTGGTGGTCTGTATGCACGTAGGCCATGTAGTGTAGGTACTGCTATCTCCATTTAAATATACGATATCGTGCAATCAAACCTAACCTGCGCATTTTTTTAAAGAAAAGATTAACGGTAAAGTGATGGCATGCCGTATTTACATGTTAGAAGAAGAAGAAAACATCTTCACGGATGTAAACATGAAGTAAGCTTAGACGTATGTTAGCATCAGGTATTTTCTTCATCGAATTACGAGAAAAAATCTATAGCTGCCCAACTTACTTCGCTTTACTCACCGGCAGCTGGTTCTCCAGTCTTGTAGCAAGTTCCTTCGTTTCATCGACCTCTTTCGCTGCCGTTAGCAGTTCCGCGAGCTCTTTCTTCGTGTAGAGAGGCTACAGCACTGAGAACATCATCTCGTCCCCGGTATTGAGATCCAGCTTCGCCACGTTAGAGACCCCATGTTGTCAGCTCTGGTGACTTCTAAAAAAGAAGAAGAAAGTTCGATTACCGATTATTTGTCTTCTCAACTTGCTTAGTAGATGCTAACTATATGTTGTGAACTAATCGACTAGCGTCTGAAAGACGATACCTGTTCGATGATTCAGATGTAGTTGGACGTGGCGTATTCGGAATGTGTCGGGGTGGCGTCGATGGAAATCTCCAAAAGAACTGCTTTCAGCCAGCTTCGTAATGATCTTCTTGAGTTTCTGTTGTTGAGGCTTCTCCGCACGTCTCAACTGGCGACGGTAGTGAGCACCGAAAGTTTTGTAGATTGCGGTGATAGTGGTGTCGAGTGCTTCGGGGTCCTTCTCCTCAAAACAGTAGTGATTTCGTTCGGTCCATTGATGATACACCTGACTATATTCCACAGAGATACAATCTCGGTTCGTTCTTGGTACCAGCACGCAGCCACTTGTTGTTTATGCGGTAATACCAGGCTGGTCCACGTGAGAGGGACCACAAGGAAGCGACTCCAGTCCTTCCATATCGTGGCCCATACGGCCTTTGATTTCGCGCACTCCATGAAGAGGTGTTTCGCTGTCTCGATGTTGTTGCAAGTCGAGTATGGACACTGTTGCACGGTCGGGTCTTGTTGCGTAAGAAACCAGAAGCGTGATCGTACAGGCAGTAGGCGAAGTGCGATACGTATCTGCAGGTCGTCGTAAATAGGCAGAAGTTGGGATCTGTGTGCACGTCCAAATCTTACGAAAGCAGGTACGTCGGCTGGGGACTTTGAGTCGAGGTCTTGGCGAATAGGATGCCTCGAACAATCCACTGCTGATGGCTGTAGTAGTTGCTTGAGTTTAGGACGGGGAATGTACGGGAACAAAAACGTTTTTGCGGCGATTTTGATGCCTACATTGGGGAGGTACATCGCTTCGGCACGAATATTAAAGCTTGTTATTGTCGTCTAAACGCGGTAAATAACTTGCATCAATTCCTTGTGGAGACTGCGGAGTCATCGCTTCTGGGTCGTCAATGGGAGTTGGGTGTTACCTGGCTAGAGAGCCCACCTTAAAAAGGTGGGAACGGATGGTTTTTGCCGATGTCGTCGAAAATATCTTTCATACAGGAATATTGTAGCCTTTTGGCTACATGGAGTCGGAAGCTTCTTTTGGGCTCTGCAACAGCGGCGAGATTTGGAGGAGTTGGTTCTTTGAAAGCCACAATGGCGCGTACAAAAGTGCGATCACGCTGCGTTCTTGGCCTCCATCATCTGGCCATTGGACTTTGTGCCACTTTTCATGCGTGTCTCCACCATTCTGGTAGCGCTGTAATGCAGGGGTTGGAAAAAATAATATCAATACAATAGTTACGGCATTTTTAGCACGGAATAATTTATTATTGCTTTAGGGTGCTCCCGTACAATGGTAAACTGTCCCAATACAATATCAACACTTGCGCCAATACAAAAACTAAGCTTACTACAAAAATCCCGTATATATTTATTGCCAATAATTGTGAAAATACTGTATTATTGGCTGACCCTGTATTGCAATGATTATTACTGCGACTCCGAAACCAAAATACAATATGATATTTTATTTTCCGACCTCTGCTGTAATGTCGAATAAGTATTTGAACTTGTTAGGCGAAATATCAAGAAAGTTGAGTGGGTGCTTCACTGGAAGCGAGGGAGTTAAAGCTTCGAAAAATGTAGACGCTAGTTGCGGCAACGCCTCCTTCTCCAGCTCTAGTGACTTGACGACCGATGAAGTGGACAAGTTCAGCCTTAGTCGATCGAAAACTTCCTTCGCTGACGTTGATTCGCTGAGCCACATCTCTTTAACCAATCGCTCGCCAATTTTCTTCGTCCGGCTGCTACCTTCTGCATCATAAACCATGGATCGGAGCTCTTTTTTGCTGTAATGCTTCTGCAGTACCGACCACATCGTCTTGCACGGATTCTCCTTGTCCAGCTTGGCCACCTACGAAGCCCATGCATCCAAATGGCTGGTCCGGAAAATCTGCTCGTGATACACTTTCAACACAAAGTTGAAGACGTCGTCCGCAGATTTCTTCTCACGCAGCCGGATCTTTTCGAGTGTTTCTGCCATGTCCTTAGCCACAGTCCTTCCACTTGACACCGCTCACTTTCCAAGGCTCAGCACTAACTGTTTCTCCATCCTCGTAGCAAACTCCTTTGCTTCTTCGACCTGTTTAGCTGCCGCTAGCATCGCTACCAGCTCTTTCTTGGGGTAGATATCCTTCAGCACCGAGAACATCATTTCATCCGCGCTCTTCGCGTTCAGCTACGTCACGTAAGAGATCCACGCTGTGAGCTTCGGTTTCTTGAACAAATCGCCTACCCTGTTCAGACCGAGAAGGCCGAACTCGTCCGCCGCAGTTTTCTTTTCGCTCAGCCAGAGCTCGTGCTTCAATTTGGTGAGAGTTACTGTCGTATCACTGGCCTTTTCGGCGTCACCAATCATCCTGACTAGTTGCTCTCCGCCGAAGCGTCCCTTTAGTACCGACAACATGGTCTTGTAAGGTTCCTCCTTGTCCAGCTTTGTCACGTACGAAACCCAAGTTTTTAAGTCGCGAGCCTTAAGAGCGTACTTGTGAGCTTCCTTCAGCACGTAGTCGAACACATCGCCTGCAGACTTCTTTTCCCTCAGCCACTTTGTGTGCAGCACTTCTCGGAATTTAGCTACCATAGCGTTGATACCATATCCACCAGCTTGTAGTCCGTGTAGTATGGCTTTATAAATCGTATCGGACGAAAGAAAGCCGACGATGTATCGTCGGCTTTCTTTGGATCCAGCTTTGTTGCGTAGTGCACCCAGGCGTCGACACTCGGATTCCACAGAAGGGCTAGCGCTTCATCGTCAAGTTTCAAGAGTTTAAAACGTCAGCCGCGGTTTTCTCTTCCCTCAGCTAGCAACGGCACTTGTAGTGGCCTCTTTCTTCGCCTTCATCAGCATTCCTACCAAGGTCTTGTCGGTATCTGCGAGTTTATATGCCTTCAGTTTTCCTAGCAAGATATTGTACGGATTGCCGTCCAATTTCTCCACGTAGGCCATCCAGCTGCTTAGGAGCGGGTTCGATAGAAGGTTATCCGCATCACCATCCAGCTTGAGGAGCTTGAAGACATCATCCGCCGATCGCTCGCTGCGGAGCCAGTCCGTCATCTGCGCCTGCTCTAGTTTTTCAGCGACTACCTTCGTGGTCGCGCTCTCCTTCGTGTCAAGGAACATTTTGGCCAGAATCGCATCATCCTTGTAGGTGGTCTTCAGAGTCGAGAGCATGACATCGTCGGCCTTCTGGGGGTTCAACCTAGCCACGTACTCAATCCAGGTACTAAGCACAGGGCTCTCGAAGAGTTTATCACTTTGTGTTCAGTTTCAGGGTCGTGAAGGACGTCTTTGCGGTCTTGCGCTCGCTCAGCCAAATCTTCTGCTGCACCCCTTCCAGTCTCGCTGCGACCTTGCTCATCAATTGGTTCTTCGCTCCAGCAAGGAGCAAGGCCAGCTCGCCGTCATCGTATGATGCTCGAAGGATTTTGTACATTTCCTCGTCCGCATGCTTCCCTTCTAGCTTAGTCACGTAGGAGACCCATGTGTTGAGCTTGGGCTGATTGAAGAGATGCGTGCCTCGGCCGTCCAGCTTCAGCAGCTTGAAAACGTCGTCCGCGCTTTGACCCTTCCAGCTATCGAACAGCACATTCTCCACCTTCTCAGCAATAGGAGACGTCGCAGGGTTTTGCTTCGCAGACCCGAGCATAGTCACGATGGTGTCGTCCCCAAACTTCTGCGCCTTCATCTTCTCGAGCAGCAACTTGTACGGATTTCCCTCCGTCCTCTCCACGTAGGTCACCCACGTGCTCAGCAGTAGGTTCCGCATTATACTGTGCATCTCCTCGTCCAGCTTCAAAGCTCCGAAAACTTGGCCAGCGGGTTGTTTCCTGGCCAACCAGTTGTTTATCTGAGCTTCCTCCAGTCTGGCAGCCACGTCCTTAGTACTCGACAGTTGCTTCGCCTCTGTGGTCATTTTGGCGAGGACATCGTCACCGTGTTGCATCGACAATGTCGAGGCGATCGCCATGTCAGCCGCCTCCGAGTTCGTCTTGTAGCCTTTGGAGACGGTGGTTGTCCACTTCTGGAACTGCGGGGTTTCCAAAAGATTGGTCTTCTGATTAAAAAGCTTCAGCTTGTTGAACAGCTGGAGTACTTCCTCTTCGCTGCTCGGGTTCTTTGATGTCAGCTTGGAAATGAGGGGGATCTTCGCATCAAACGCTCTGTCTTCGCCGTCGGTTGTCTGCCTGCGTGCTCTCAAGTGCCGCGTAGTTTGGCCGTTGAGGTCGAGAGCGCGTTGGGGAGTTATGCTAGAACTGGCACTGTCCCGCTCAGAAGGCATGACCGCAGGTAAGGCATTGACCAAAGTTGAAAGAATGACAATGGCGACCAATGTGACGCGACCAAGACTCATAGCTGAAGCGGTCACACCAGGAACCGGAGTGCGAGACGTCTGGAAGCAACTTGCAAAGTGGCAGGTATCGGTCGCTCCAGCGCCTGGTACAGTACTGTATGCGCCCTTCAACTGTGTGCCTGCGCTGCGTCATGTCTATTGTCAGTGCCGCTGGTCTTCATTGTTGTCGCGGGATGAGAACGACGGATAGGCAACGTGTTTCTAAAGCCGGGACTCATCAGTGCTGACTAAAATGTGTACAACGCATGTCCAGTTCTAATTAAGTGCGTCATGTTCCTTGTGGCTCTCATCAGCTATGTACTTGCCCAGTATACATCACGTACTCGATGGACGGACATTTTTCATTAAGCAAATGGCTCTGTAGTGCAACAAGCACTAGGTACAAATCACCTCCAATGTCGGCGAAATCTTTTATCTTGATCTAGAACGGCCAGGCCTTTTCGAGGTTCGGCACGAAGGCGGCATCCTTAAAGGGAACGACGGCCGGGTCGAAGCTGGTCTCATTTAGCGCTGTGCGAGCGGCTTCAGGCAGTTGGCTCCACGTCACGAGCTCTTGCAAGCCTCCCCCGTATTTGTTGAGCTTCAGAGTTCCCGTCCACACTTTCGTATTTGACGAGTGGGGCGTTACCCGCGATGAACTTCTTATCGGGAGGGGAATACTTCAGATACTCGCCATTATCTGACGACGTAGACACAGCAAGGAGCTTCGTGCATTCCGGCGCGGGGTTCTCCAGCCACACCACGATGTTCTCCCAGTCGTGACGGTGGCCTTTGCCGGATTTGGGCGAGTCTTTGGGGAAGTACCAGGCGTACATGGTGGCCCACACGTTCTTTTGCCACGCCGAACGCACGTACAGGGAGCAGCTAAGGATTTCCGGAGCTCCCATACACAAACAGGCCAACCATATGCATGTGTAACTCCATGAATACCAGCACTCTAAAGATCGAAGAGGACTATGAACATGCAATTGAATATCTGTGTTGTCTAGTTAGCTAGCCATCACAGGCCAGTAACCCCATGTTCGGGCGCGGTATTGACGGTGTTGGTCGCCCATGAACTCGTCTGAAAACGCCATCGCAAGCGCTCTGCTCGCGCTGATGTACAACAATTTGTTCGCTTTCGCCCACAGATCGTGTTTTTGTTTCAAACGCTGATGATCCTTAGTTGCATCATGCTCTCTCCTAAATCTCTAGCGAGTGTCATAGTTTTGCTTGGCGCGTTCAACGCTCACCACTGCAGTAAATTTTGGAAGACTGTGAGCAAGTACAGGTGTGCCCACGCGACAACGAGTCGACTATAACTTTGCTGCATACTGGTCGCATGTACTACGTAGTATAACGGAGCAACAGTTGTCATGTATATACCTCTAAAGGTGAGGGCCGAAACCACACGCATGTTCTCTCCGTAAACGGTATTGTCCAAGACTTGTAGATTGCGCAGTTAGTCTCGTTGGTGCTCTAGCAGTACCACAAACTCCTTTTGAGAAGTATTTTCAAACTTGACGCTCGTGTTTATCTTGCAGGAGTCGTCTTAGAAGTTACCGTACGATACATTATTTTTTAAATGTATTTTTTTCAAAAGTAACCAAGTTATCTACGTATTGATGCCTTGAACTCTTAACACCTGCATTAGACTGCTACTTGGTCAATTTGTTGTTGTTCCTGAACCAGCACATTGCGTCGAGCGTGCTACCGACAGAGTAACTGACCTCTAGGAAGACCGTGCCGGTAGCTTCCCTGTATGCGAACTCGTGATCGGTGAGGGATACAGGAAATCGAGCCGTCGTCAAGTATATGTACCGGTAGTGAACTCATCTTTGCTAGGGCCCACATGTAGTGGCAGTAGAGTGTTCAGTCGAGCCAAAACTTTGGTGACATCGTGCCCGACTCCGTCGCTTCGAGCAACAAGTAATGGTCAGCGGAGAGCATCGATGACGGTGACGACGCCAAGATGCACGTGTCCACTACGACCTGAAGTCGAAGACCTGCGAGGACATCATTGTGAGTGGCACTGACCCTAACGAGCGTGTCCCTCACGTTGCCTCCATCGGCAGCGACAGCACCCTCGTTATGTGAGATGTTAGCTCGTCCGGCCCCGTTGCTATAAAAACTATAATGGTTGTACTAGTCCTCTTCGATCTTTAGTTTAGCTTGAAGTGCTGGCACATGGAGTTACACATGCATATGGTTGGCCTGTTTTGTGTATGGGAGCTCCGGAAATGGGAGCTCCTTAGCTGCTCCCCACGTACACTTGGGAAGTCGTGAAGAAGCCCCTTCAGCCAGAACTCGACCCCCCAGTGGGCTTGAGACCTCCGCTGGTCTGACCCTGGGCGTTCACGGCAGGGTACGTGTTGCATCCGTTGCCAATGAGAAGTTGGGGCTTGAAGCGGACGGCGGCTTTTTCAGAGAGGCTGATCGCCTCAGACTGCGTGATGGTTGACATCGTCGTGGCTGATGGTCTCAGCAAGAGCCGAGGCAGCAAAGACGGCAGCGAGGACGAACAAGCCGCGAAGATTCACCATACTTCGACGGGTTCGAGCTCGAGGCGGTCAATAGCGGAGTGGCCACCGTAATGTGCCAGTGAGCTTGTGGCTCGGACAGTCAACCATCCTCGGTAAGCATTGATTGCGGGACAGGAGAGCCGGGATTGACAGTAATTTGTTTTGAACTACTATTCCACTGATACCACTATTAAAATGATGGGTGTATTTCCGAGTGTAGCGGGGAAATTATGTTTTCCGATGGAAGGATAAAGCCACGTTGAAGAAGGACGAGGTGCCCGTGGACGGCGAGCCGCACGCGGACACCAAGGCGCACGTGGACACCAAGATGCACACGCACACCAAGCCGCGCGCGGTCACCAGTAGGTTTAGTATGTATGCCATTCAAGCGGGCGGTTTTCTTGGACCGGGCAACCGGTACATGTTTTGTCCCCAGCCGAACGTGGCACTAGTGTAGTTTGAGCAGTTCGTTCTCGGCCAGTCAAGAGTTTGCACCGTCGGGCGCACGGCCCCAGCAGCCCCGACACGCCACCACGGCACGCTCGACCGCACGCCCGGCGGCACGCACCACAACCACTTCCTAAGGGGGCGGCCCCAACTCACAGAGCTTGATGGGGCTCGCCTTCAATAATCCAGAACGACTGCTGACCCCCCAACGTGCTTTAGTATGCTCAAAGGAAACTCTAAATACTACAGTAGCTATTATTTTGGGACGATGAGCCAACTAATAATACTGCAGTAATTAGTAACTCAGATCGGCCACATTTACTAATACTGACTACTGCCTCCCACTAGAAGCAATTTAGAGGCGTGTGGCAATCTTTCCGCTTCCAGGGATGCTTGGCCGCATGCCCACTCTCGTCGATTTAGTGCAGAGGGAAATATTTTGACATCCGTTGCCACTGTCGTACGCAAAATTGTAACACGAGCAAAACATTTGGCGGCCAGACTGGTTTTGCTCGTGTCGGTCCCGCCTACAGCTAGCCTTGATCCACTGAATGGCTCAAGAACGCTATCTACCTGGTTAAGGGTATGTTGGCGGCGCGTACTCATTATCGCCTCGAATGAATGACCCATGTCTTACACGGTTGGTACGGGGAGCGGTAAGTGCAAAATATGAATCGATTAAACGGATCTAAAGTGGCTTCAGGTGTTGGTTTTTACTTAGAGCTGGAGCATCCCGTTATACAAGCTGTACGAGTACACGATCCAATCGTCGGCTCTAGTAACGGGAACCAACAAGATTGCGCTGTGGATTACCACTAGTAACGGGGAGCAACAAGCTTGAGCTGTGGATTGCCACTGGCAATTTGGCAGTGGTTCGACCGACCCCACGATCCCCGCGTCAGCTCTGACAACAAGATTGAACTGACGCTCGTAAAAGGGAAATTTATGCACGAAGAATCTGACTGTGAAGCGTTCAGCGACACAGATATAGGCTTTTTGAAGGTCGACCATCGACATTACTATGAAGTAATAGATAATAATGTACTAATAATAATATAGTAATCGAGATCTCGGGTTCGATGATACTAGTACTTTAGTCTCTTGTTATCTTCCACTAGTATATTACTATGTTAATTCAGTGTTACTAGACACCTTTGCTCACGTATTTTACGGATTCTGCTACCTCCCTGAGTTTCGTAAATTGTAAAATTGCCGACGACACTTTTTGCCCACGTATATTCAATTAGGTACGAATATCAATCTTCGACAGGGAATCGAGGCCAGCAGCGTGGTTAAGTACCACGCGGGCTTTCCAGCTCTAGTTGATGGCCCCTGGCGCTAGGATCAAGCGTTTACATTATAGCTGGAGTCGTCCGAGGTGGCGAGAGGAAGTCGGGTTGGTGCTGCTCTCGTCCTGAGTGTTCCCAGCGTTTTCCCGCAAAACCTCAAAAACATAAAAGTAAAAACCTTCAGTATTTACACCGGGGAGCCTCGAACTACGTGTACATCGGACAGATGAAGAAGCTCTCGTGGATGCTCCAGCGTTGACACTGGGTCCAGGACCAGCTCCATATACCCGAAATGGGGCTTTCGTCATGCGTTCTAAGAAGGTGAGGGTCTTGAACCCCATCGTCTATACACAAGCACCGCCTTATAGCAAACACTAGCGTTTCCACCTTGTTTGCAACTGATTTTAGCTAAGCTTAACGTGTTCGTAAAGTCAGACGATTCATCATGCAGCCACTCGGAAATGTAAAAGCTGACTGGCACGAGTACCAAATCTGCTCTCCTTGAAGAATATTTTTCCAGCTACACCTTACAGCGTACTCGAAAGATCGATTAGATAACCGGTACCGCGTGCAGTTTCCTTGAAGGACTATTGGTGTTAACGTAGACTTCTTAGAGCACCAAACAACCGACGCGTTTGCAATATATACATATCGTTGGTGTATTGTCAAAAGCTCGAACTGACGATGCATACTTGCAGCTCGGAGCTGTTGGCGATGTATGCGTGCACCGCACCGAGGTGGTGCTGTGGGCACAAGACTTGCTGAAGGAGTTGGGCGTCAAGCAGACGATTGAAACAACCCTCTTTTGTGACAACCAAAGTACCCTGAAAGCGATCGAGAACAACGGCAACTCGGAGCGCTTGCGGAACTACGCCAAGGTGATCCGGTACATTGCAGAGTACGTGGATGCTGGAAAGGCGGGGTACCAAGCTCCATCAACTTACTGGAACGCGTTCTCGAGAGACGGCATCACCTCACGGCTCCGGTGCTGAAGCTGCCTGCGCACGAGGCCTGAGTCGCATGACCTCTGGGTCTTCACTAATGATGCCGGACATAATGGCTCTTGCCACAGGCCATAGCTAATCATGTAGCTGAGAGGTTGAGGCAGCGGTCCCAACAAGAGCGCCGCTCCTCAACGTAGGCATCGTAGGAAGAACAACACGAGTTGCCGGGCTCAGTGCCGCGACAGGCTACTGTGGAGGTGCTGGAGCAAAGGTCTGTTCGCAAAAGTGAGCGACCTGCACCAACACAGCAGCCAGGCAAGTATATAAGCAGTGTTAAGCAAACAGTAAGGCATACTCAAACTAAGTAACTACGATCTCGGTTGGTCCGCAACCAACCAGGCAAAAGTGGCTACAGGCAGGAGCCAAAGTGGCTACAAGCGGAGGTCGACAACTTGGCGATGATCTTGTGATGCGCAGATCTTCAGTAGCCGCAGGTCAGTGTCCAGCTATCGACAGTTTACTCCACACTCTCACTTGATCTCGTCGGCAGGTCCTGTTGCCGTAGCGTACGGCGAGAGCACCTATGTAGGATAGCAAGCAACATGATGGATACGCAGTAGTAAAGCAGATCGCACGACCCAGCAAGTACTACAAGCAGCAACAGCGATCAGGATAATGCGAAGGCAGCCCGGCTGCAAGCCAACGCCGCCACATCAGTCTCGCACACCACAGCAGCGTGATTGGATCAGTCGATACAGCAACGGCACAGGGAGTAGCAGTAGCGCATGCACCCTCCCACTAGCCACCAGGATATCACACCGCTGGAGAATCATTTTGTAGGATCTTCAGTACTTTCCTCGCTGAGCGGAACTTCGGAAACTTCACGTGTCCAAGTGGCTTCGTCGTACAGTCGTACAGTCAGCAATCATCTGATGCGTCACTAAGCGTTTGTCCTCCACGCAGTGTCGAACGAGATAAAATCGGTTCTCAATGTGCTTCATCTTTGAGTGTTTCCCTGGTTTCTCGGATAGATAAATACTGTCTTTGTTGTCACCCAGTAGCAGTGGTGTTTCATGTTTCCATCGTAGCTCAGCACACAAGCCCACAAGCCACAGTATATCCTTGGTTCCTTCGAACATTGCAACGTACTCAGCTTCGGTAGTGGATTGGGCATTGATTCCTTGTTTACGTGAAGCATAGGAGATCACTTTTCCATCAAGCACCGTGATGTAGCCGCTCACACTTAAACGATCTTCAGGATCATTAGCATAGTCAGCGTCAGTGTATGCAGACACCAAGACGTCCAACTTTGGCAGAATGTCCATCACAAGGCCGTAGTCACGCGCTGACTGCAGATAGCGAAGCACTCGCTTAGCCTTAGCAAAATGCGTGTGATCGAAATTGGCAAGATGCGTGCCGAGCGTGCGCACAGCATGTGCAATGTCCGGACGCGAGGCAGACACAAGGCACTGCAGTGCACCCACGAATTCCCGATACGGCAGTGGCTCATCTTTGAGTGGCAGCTTGATTGCGAGCTCTGCCGTAGCTTCTCGAGTGCGGCATCCATTGCAATCTTGCATGTTGAATCGCTTGAGAATCTCAATGATGTACTGCTGCTGAGAGAAAATCACTTGACGTCTCGGGCGATCAATCAGAATCTCCACTCCTAACAGGTACTTCACTTGCCCGATGGTTGTCAACTCAAATGAGTCTCGAAGTTGACTGGCCGTAGTTTCACAGTCCGCTTGAGGTCCCATGATCAGCAGATCGTCCACGTAGACGGTGAGTAGTTGTGCAACCTCACCATTCACGCGCTTCACATACAAGCCGTAGTCTGAGTCCAAGCGCTCAAACCCCATTGCAATCAGTTTTTCATGCAGTGTGCGATTCCAAATGTTCGGAGCTTGCTTCAGCCCGTACAAGGACTTAATAAGTCGTCACCGTTGAAGGCGGGGTCCCGTCGGCATGTTGTTGGAGCGAAAAAAAATCCGATGGATGTCGCTTGAGTGGCAGATAAACTATCGATCACAGGTATATATACTTGGTTAAAGGGTATGCAAAATAATAGGTAATTTGACTTAATCTCAACCGGATGGGTCAACATTGCAGCATAATTTGATTAGATCGCAGGCTATCGAGTATAACAGGTATTTTAGCTATAAACATCATCAGCACTCAAACCCATATTTAGCAGGTATTTGATGTGAGAATAATGGCACCTCAGTGGCCTTCACCCATGCACTCTGGATAAAATCCAGAGAATTGTAATTTTACGAGTTGTACAAATTGACGGCATGCCACGACCTCTGCAGCGCCGCTGTGCTTGTATCGAGGTGAAGCCGAACGAGGAGTATTATGCTCTCTTGTTCTTGATCATAGAAGATGAAAACGACGTGTTGCAGCCGTCGTTAAAGGCAAGATCTTCCCGGTCAGTTGGGCTAAGCATATTTTTTCTACCGCCACACAGTTATTATATAGTTCCATATCTGACCGCAAGGCGGTCAAAAACTCGTTGAAGGCCTCATAATCAACAGCATGGCTCTGAACAGGCTTCGGGGCATCCCATTTAATCGCATCCCTCAACGCACTTGGTGCAGAACGTGATCTTGTGCTGGATGGGTTTTCGTCAAGCGCAATAAAGCTGATCCGCTTGTGAATCTTGCATGAGCAGTACACACGCATGACGTACATGCTGCAGATTAGTGTACTGCAGAGTACGTGGATGCAGGGAGGCTGCAGATGATGTACGTCCCGACGACGGACAATCTGGCCGACATCTTTACGAAAGCTCTCGGGCCTTCGCGCTTCAAGGAGTTGCGCAACGGCCTCAGTGTGGAGGACACCAAGGCTGCCTGGACGGCATTGGATGGAGAGGTGCAGGGCCTCGTGCTGACGGCTGACGACGCCATGGACATCGAGATGTAGGTGCCCAAGTCCAAGCCGTAAGGGCCCATGCCGACACACGTGTTTGCGTTCACGCTTTCATGTTTGGGGTGCCACTACGAAGTGAAGTGGGAGTACGAGGTTCTGCCCGTTGATGGCCTGGTGTTCGACCGTGTTCCTGCTTGGAGCGAGAGCAGGCTGCCGTGGGCGAAGTGCAGCAACGGTTGAACAAGAAGATCACTTCAGTTGTGGCCCCGTTGGTATAGTGAAGCCAAGTGCGTCATTGCATTCAAGTATGTGAACTGCGTGTTGCAGTTAGTTGAGGTTCAAGTACAAAAATGAATGAAGAGGGCGTCGTGGAGAGGCTGAAGGCGAGGTTGGCGGTGAAAGGATTTATGCAGAAGTACGGAATTGACTATCTTGCAACCTTTTCGCCCGTGGTGCGCATCGAGTCCGTGAGATTGGTGATGATACTTGCACTCATATTATCCTTGGACCTGAGGCACATCGACTTCGTAACAGCCTTCTTGAATGGAGTGCTGACGGGTTCAACTCGACAGGAATCGTCAATAATCGCGGCTACATCTACGTAGACGACATCGACATCCTTAAGATCGTCAGAGTCGGCTAGCTTGCTACAATCCCCAACTTTCCGTGTGTTATGTTGTAATTCAGTTTCTTCCCACTAATAGCGGTGCAATTTTTGGGCAGATGCTGCGACTGCGAAGCAGGCTCAGGAGATGCCCTTGGGTCGTACGGGTCACGCTACCGAAGTATAACCAAATGTTTTTTTGTACCTTCCTATTCAGTATCAAACGGTCTTAATTCGTGCACTTGATCGGTCGGCTGGAAGTACAGATTCCATCTTACTCAGTTAGCGATCTCCTTACTGCATGATCACCATTAACGTTGCCCAGCTGATTGAATTCATGTTGAGCAGATTGTGTTTTATTATGGGCGATGATATGGTATCCATGGTAGATACCTCGTCAATAATCAACAATTGGCACGTAGAAACAAGTACACTAACTTATATGCCCAAGAGCCAAGAACCACGTAAAATCCAGAGCTGTTCCGGGCAGAGCACGGCCTTGTTGAACTCGATAAATTAATTTATATACTGTGTCCATAAAACATTATATCTCAACGGTATATCATGGTAAGCAGTATGTCGTTCTGCAATTTTACCGAATGACTTTCCCGTATTTTGTGCGGAAACGTGTGCTCGAAAACGCGTAAATTACGTGGGCAAAAGGTGTCTACTGTCGATCCCTGCCCGCATGTCATCTACAGATGGCTTGGCTCGATTGTACCGATCCTGTAGTCGAAAGTTGAAGGTCTTCTACCAGCCAGGATCACTTCGAGATGCGCACACGTTGATAGCAGTGACTATCACAGGAGCCAAGTGGGGCTCAGCTTCTGCAGGTGCTGCATCCCGTGGGGAGAATCGAGATATGGCCACCGAGTGTTCTGGTCTGACTTGAGGCGCCAGGAATAGTTTGACGGACTTCAGTCTGGAAACAGCCTCGTATCCTCCATTAGAATTTGGTCGATCGAGAGAAGCCCAGACAGACCACGACAGTCATGGCCGGCATGAATGCGTACACGAGCTCTCTGCGAAATGACAAGCCCGTGACGAAGCCCTACGAGGAGGGTGTCCCGTTCTTCGTGCCTCAGCTCTCCAAGGTCAAAACGAGCATCATGTGCCAGCAGAAGCTCCTGTTCAAGTACGAGTCTCCCGGAGTCACCGTAGGCCCCTTGTCGCCCAACCCGGTGCCGTATCGGAAGCAGGGCAACCAGGCGCTGTACACGGAGGAAAACCTGAAAAGACGTCAGAAACTCATGGAAGACCCGAGCGTGCTCGAGTCCATTGAGCGGTTCTGGGAGACCTTCCCCTGTATTCGACGCGGCATGGATACCATCCCCATGCACGAGTACGTGGACGTCTTCATGAAGTTCTACAAGGCACTGGTCGCCCCCAGCGAGTTCTCGATTGGTGAAGCGCGCTGCATCGTCGAAAAGGACTGGGGGCGGGACTCGATCGACGGCGAAAACATGTCGAAAACGCTCTTCTTCGGCTCTCTCTTCGAAGTGGTGCGTGTGTAGATTGTAGCTGTAGCTCCTTATCGATAAGTGCTCGAAAATTCTCATCTTTCTGGCGGTTGTAGGCGGACATTTGGACGATCGACATCAGCGCCGAAGAGTACGCGTCCTTCCTCAAGAAGCTCTACGAGCGCGTGACCATGACCATCTACGACCACGTCAAGCTGCAGTGGATAACTGCGTTCGCCGAGCTGGACAAGATCCGCTCCTTTGACGACCCCACGCCGCCTGACGCGGACACTGACAGCCAGAACCTCGACGCGAACAAAAAGTCCAATGCATTGGGTCCAGTCTTGGATCCCCCACGACCACCTTTCATCCGGAAGAAGACACGATCAGCTAATGCCCTGCTGCCACCTCCTCAAGACGTGCGTCTACCCGAGATTCTGTCGGGACGTAAGGGCCAAAGTGAGAGTGAGAGCAACAACGAAGGCTGGGGGACGACCCTGAGCGATGATTTCGGCGCCGGTGACCGCGATCGCCTCTTCGAGCACAGTCCGATCAAGACGCGGCTGGAGCAGGTGCTGGAGGGTAAGCGGATGAGATCCGATGACGACCTGTCCAGCGAATCGTCCAAGACGAAGCCGTCGCGCGTGGCACTACCAGAGCTGACCCCTCCGCAGGTGCTCCTTCCGATCCCAAGCATCTATCTCAACCCGGACTTGACCCACGTCCACGAAGCCGAACGAGCAGCACGCCGTCGCCTGCGGAAAAACGTCAAGCTGGCACAGAGGCTGCGACGAATCACATACTAGCTCAGGCATGCCCCCACACATTTACGAATTTTGCTCACTCACGTACTCAGTGCCGTCAGTTAAATGGCGTTGAGGTTTATTAACCGCGCAGAAGTCGATAGGTTGCCTCTCTCTGCTTGCTTATAAGACTGAAATATCAGCCCATTTTCTTCATCGCCCGGTCCTTTCGGTTGTGATTCGCTACCTTGGCCTTGTTCTTGTCTTTCCTTGCTCGCTGGCGCTGGATCTGCTGCGGTGTTAGCTGTTCGTCAGGCTTCTTCTCAGATCCTCCTCCTTGCCGCTTGTCTTTCCGTCGAGTAGAATTCTGCTTCGGGCCTGAAGGACCTGGTGAGGGACCACGCGTAGAGTTCGGACGTGACGGCTTCTGCCCGCCAGACAGGACCTCTTCCTTCTCGTCTTCCTCCTCTTCGCCCACTTCTTCGCCTGCCGCATTGAGCGGGTTGTCACGGTTCCGGTTGCGCATGCCCTCCCAGAACGCGTCCTTCTCCTCCTTCAAGCGCATCCGGCGGTTCTGCTCACGAATATCATCCTGGTCATCGGCACTGCCGCCATCGCGGATGCTGAACGGCACGAAGTCGTCGAACTCGTCGTTGTAGTCGTCGTCGTACTCGTCCAGAGTGGCGATGCCGTCATCTATGCTGCCGTATGCGCCTGCACCACTCAGGGGCTGCCCGTACTCGTCTTCTTCCTCGTACATATCCACGAGCTGCTTCATCTTCTCCACCAGTTGCTGGTCCTTCTTCGCAATCTGGGGGTCGTACGTCTTCTCCATCGCCTTCTTGCCCACCCACACTCGACTCGGGTCCAGCTTCTTCGACTCTTCCTTCTTCGGCGCTGGAGCTGGCTTGCCGGTGATCTGCGCCTCCAAGCGCACAAACTTCGGGTCGCAGCGCTTCAAATCCTGGGCGACGTCAATGAGCACCGGCGGCGGGTTGCTTTCCAGCAGGAAGTTGATCACGACCTCCACTTGCAGGTTCGAGCTGAGCAGGCAGAGCTCGACGTAGCCATCACCCAAATCCGGGAAGAAGTCCTTCACCTGGAGCACCATCGGGGCCAGCACTGTCTCCGTATCGTCGCTCTGCGGGGCTGGAGCAGCAGCCTTGGTCTCCTCCACTACCGGCGGCGCCCTCCACTCCTTCGCGTCAGCAGAGAGCGACACCGCCTGGGGCTTGGTCTCTGCAGCCAGATCGTCGGTCAGCAGCACGCGTCGCCGTGGGAGGCCCTCGACCACCATGTCCAGGTACGAGAAGTTCTCCACGTCCAGCTTGCAGCGGTCGAAGTACGCCGCCACCTTGTCCTTGCACTCGCACAGGTACCACAAGTCACTCAGGAACGAGCCGTGCTCCGCCTCGTCGTCCAGGCAGCCGTTGCTCAAGGCGTGCAGCCCCGCCAGCAGCTCCTCTCCACTGCTAGAGCCACCTTCCTTCTCCATCACCACGTCCACGCAGCGCGCGAGCACCTGCAGCAGCGAGCGTCGGGTCTCCGCAATGACCGGCATCTCCTGCGCCTGCACCTTGTCGTCGAAGCTCAGCACATGCCTCTGCAGTGCCGGCAGCGCCGCCTCGTAGAGCTGCACGAGCCCGTAGAGCATGGATGCATCCTGCCGGCCCAGCTCCCTCTCTAGGTCGGCGCCGGCCAGCACCAGGCGCTGCGTGACGGAGTCGGCGGTGGCCATGCCGGCGACCGACAGGCTCAGCTCGTAGGCGCGGCGCAGCAGCTGCACCACCTGACCTCTCTTTACCTGTTGCGCGGTCTTGTTGAAGTCGTTAAGTTGCTCGATGTACAGTTGCCGCAACGCCGGCATAGCTGTCGAAAAGCCCGGCACGTTTTCGACAAGAGTGTCCAAAATGCCCCCCACGGCGGCGGCGTTCTTGGGCGCGTAGACCTGGCAGAACGGCACCACGCGCGTCGCGTGCAGCAAGCCGCAGCGCTCGGCCAGAGATAGCAACGACGCGCTCTGCGTCACGCGCTGGAATAGCGCGAACACGGCGAGCGAGTCGGCAGCCAGCGACCTCGCGGCCGACAGACGCGATTCCTCGTCCATGGACGCGTCCGCGCGCGTCTGCAGCGAGGCGCCGCGCGTGAAGAAGGCGTCAACCGCATCGAGCGAGGCGGCGTCGCTCAGGAGGCTCCGCAGCTCGGTGTCCGTGGCCTCGGCCAGCGCCGGCAGTGGCGGGATCGGCATCTCGGCGATTTTCGTGTGTCGGCAAATGGCGTTTTTGACCCATTTTTTGAAGTTGTGAGTGATGGTTAATAGTCTTTTTGTGGGAGAAACCTGTGATTACGACATTTGTTTTGACTAGAATCTAAGACCATGATTGGCTTCAGCTCGTCGCGATGTGATAAATCCTTTTCAGCTGTTCGGGGAAATTTTGGTGAGCGAGGTGTCACGAAAAAGTACGAAAGCACTGATTAGAGCGAAAAGGGTGTATTGTGAAAACCGCATTTGCCTATTTTGCTCGTAAATCGATTGATTAGCACCCTGATTTAGCTCGATCAATTTGTAAATCGATCGCGCCCCTGCGATGCATATGTGAGTGGATGTGCAGATTAGGCGATCGTCTTATGGAGACCAAGTCGATATAGCCGCGCTTGGAGCAGAATGCCCACCTTTTACTGGGCAATCGAGCAGCCAAGCGATGGATCTAGATCACGATCGATTTCAGCCCTGATTTGTACTCTGATTAATTAGGCAATCGAGATCTAATAAGGGGTTGCTACAAATGGGCGTTTTAGCCGGTTCTCACAATAGGTGATTGAGATCTAATAAGGGGGTTCTACAGATGGGCGTTTTAGCCCGTTCTCACAATAATGTTTCAGCCATTCAACTTTTAGACCTCTGGAGCAGTAGCTGCCGGAGTGCGCGTCGCAATGCACGCAGCGCCACGACACGATCTGATCCAGTGGTCTCGACGGCGCGGCCAGTTCGCAGTAGTCGTCTGTGTCGTCCTCGTGTCCGCAGCCTCCCACCAGAAATGGCGTATTAATGACAAGGCGACTCTGTCCGCTCCATTCGAAAGTGCTTTTGAATCGCTATGTTTTTTTAGATTGCGTCCAATGCAGTAAAGTTTGCGTACCGTAACGCAACCGAAAAAGATCATTCGTACTGATGGTGAAAGCCAAGAGCTATGGGGGGAGGCGTGCAGTGCAGCACGAGTCGGCTACAGTTCGAGCGAGACCAATTTCGACCAACTGCCCTTTTGCTTTCATTCGCTCATGCCAGCCAAGTCCACCTCGGCAGTGAGTCTTGGTCGCGCCATATTGGTTGCGATTGTCGCTCTGTCAGCATGCGTCAATGCCTTCCAAGTCGCCACGGACTCGAAAAGGATCTACGACAACTGTTCAACACACTCTTGACCTCAACGACCAGACTACTCGGCACTTGAGGGCTCGCAAGCACACAAGTGACGACGAAGGCCGAGGGTTTGATGTGACGATCCCCTCATTTCAAAGCTAGTGTCAACGAACCCGAGCAACGAAGAGGAAGTGCTGCAGCTCTTTCTCAAGCTGAAACTCGTCAACGAAAGGGGCAGCTGTTCGAGAACCCGCAGTTCCAGAAGTGGACGAGCGCCGTCACCAAAGGCTACAAGACGAACTCCGAAGCGGCTGAAATGGCGATTGCCTCGACGTTGGCGATGCAACTCGGTGAGGATGTCCTCGCAAAGATGGTCATGGAGGCGAAGTTAGTGGCGAGTACGAAGGGCGTGGATGTCAAACTGGAGGAGGCTCAGCTGCACTACTGGCCGGCCAAGCAGCAGACAGCAGAGCAAGTATTCAGAGCTCTGAAGCATCAACTGTAGCCCAGACAGTGGAGAAGGAATTGTTCTATAGCTAGAAGTCTCAAAGCGCGGACGATATTTTCAAGCTCGTCAAGCTGGACGACCAAGGTGAACAGCTTTTCAATCTCCCTGCACTCAGCACGTGGATGTCGTGTCGGAACACGCCGAATTTTCTAGTATATGTAGGCACAATCCCTTAAGACAACACCCACTGAGTCACGATGAGTAGTGATTACTCAGCAGGCTTGTCGGGTAAATGAATATGAACCTAAAGGCCCAGCTTCACACCCGTTCCTCGGGTTGGTCGTTTCCCCTTATGCACCGTGGTTTCCTTAGGCTGCCAGCAAAGCCCAGCACTTCCAGTCACGAGCGACGCCTGGAGTGCTCTTCACACGCAACAACCCCGCGGTCCCTCCAAAGGAAGGGTCCTGGCCACTGGTAGGCCGTTCGCGAGGGCGTCAGAGAACTATCCGACGGTAAGAATCAAAAGGGGAGCACTTAAGCTGCGACCCAATACACGGCGGTAACTCGCCTTCAATACACGGCCCTTCCTCTACTCTCTTGGCCTTGCCGGGGTAAACGCACACCACTATGCTAGTAGGCACGCTCACCGACAGGCATCTCCCTCCCTACAAGATTACCTTGGACACGGGTCGTCCACCGTGCGCTCGAAGCCTTGTCGCTTGAGAGAAAAAGCTGTTCTGTGTTGTTGCCCAAAGGGTTTATCTCTTCTATCTTGTCTTTCCTATAGTACAATACAAATACTAAGTCTAAACGTGTCCGTTTCGGATCTTCTAGCACCAACAGTCGCCGCCGAAGAGTCGCCGAATACTCTTAGGTACGCGAACATAAGGAAGGTGCGTCTTAGGTGCGAAACTCCTGCGACTTGAGCCGTGGTGTGTACCACATCTTCAACTCGGGAGGTAGCCATCCGCGACGGGCTGCGACCTTCACTCACGGGCGCCAATCTCGAACTCCCGTCAAGATGGCGGGGCGTCACGGACCGCGCAGCCAATCATCGCCGATCCCGTTGGTACTTGGCTTTTGACGCAATTTGCTGCAAGCTGCTGCTCAGGCTGCGGCGAGATCTCGGGGGCAATTTCCAACACCATATGGATCTCCTAGACGACGAGGCTGGCAGGAAAACAAGCAAACGAACAAGTCTACAAAATCCTTCGAGCGTCTTACGCCGACGACGAGCTGGCCGTGATCCTACTGGGAGCGAAGAAACACTTGATGGGCGATGTTGCTCAGAGACTGGAGAAGGTGCAGCAGAAGGTTTGGACTGGTGAAAAGAAAACCGCGGAGGCAGTGTTCGCCTCGCTGAAGCTGGGGGGCTACCAGGGTGATGGTGTTTTTAAGAGCCCGGCGTTTAGCTACTGGGTCGACTATGTGACGAAGCTGAGTCCTGAGAAGGCGGACGAGTTAATGCTGTCGACTCCGAAGACGAGTTACAAGGACGATGTTCTGGCCAAAAAGGTTGTTACAGCGAAGGAGGGTTCCTCTACAAAGCCTATTGCTGGGCAGTTGGAGAATGCTCAGATGAAGGACTGGCTGCGCAACAAACGGTCAGTGGATGATGTCTTTAAACTGTTAAGGCTGGACGACGAAGTTGATAACCTACTGCAGTCCCCACTGCTGAGCAACTGGGTGATTTACTTGGGGAAGTTGGATGAAAACCCGTACACTATATTACTGGGGAAACTGAAGACTTTCAAGCTCACAGCCACTGACGATAAGCTCGTCGACATGCTCACGAAGGCAAATCAAGATGTCAGTACCAGTGTGCTTGCTGATAAGTTGGAGACGGCACAGCTCGACAATGGCTGAAGGAGGATAAAACCGCCCATTATGTTTACAAACTGTTACATGTACAACTGGATGACAGTCATGGCTTGCTTTTGGTGTATCCATCCGTAGAGGCTTCGGTGAAGTACGCGGCAAGGCTGGATTCCCAGAAATCTGACGATATCATTTTATCGGTGCTAAAACTACACTACACCGACACCAAGATGGCTGAAATGGTAGTCACAAGAAGGAGCCGCAACAAAGTCATAGCAGCCAAATTCCAAGACATCTTGTTCAAACATTGGCTGACCGAGAAGAAGACCGCGGATGGTGCTTTCGAGTTCCTGCTAAAAAGCCATCGCGCGCACATCTTTGAGATTTTTGACAACTTGGAGATTTGGGTCTCGTTCGTGACCAAACTGGATAAGGGAGACGACTACAAGACGATATTCTCGGTCCTAAAGAAGCGCTTGGAAGGCCGAGAACTCGCTAACATAATTTATGACGCAGGAGAAGTTGGTCGTACTGCGCTACTTGCCAGGAAGCTAGAGCAAGAGCTTTGGTTAAGCCAGGGGGAAAACGCGGAGGGTATTTTCAATCTTCTACATCTAAACGATGCAGAGACCGCGTTGTTTAAAAAACGAGACTTGGCGACGTGGGTTTCATACGTAACCAAGCTAGATGCGAAGAACGCGGACGAAATAATCTTCTCGGTGCTGAATCCTCCCTACACCCAGAAAGACTTCGCGGCGATGCTCACGGCAGCCAAAAAGGTTGAAAAAACGGAGGATCTTGCTATCAAGCTGGAGAAGCTATTCGTTCAAAGTCTAGGAAAGTAAGCTGAGAAAAACAAAACGGAACTATTATCGTCAGCTTGTCCAATCCGGTAATGTTGAGTTTACGTTTGCCACTAGCATTCTTGGGGAAAAAATGTTGTATGATGCGGGGGTGGTCTGGAATCCTCCATTCAACAACGATAATTTTGCTCTAGCAGCTGTGTTGAAGTTTGAGGTATATATATGTACGGTAGGTATATTTGCATCGAGTTGGGATCATTTTTTTTTCATTGTGCCATCAAGTTACTTCGTTTTTCCTCTGCGTCTAAGAATTCCCAGTATTTTCTGAAATATATTTCGGATTTATCCATGAAATTTATCTTGTTTCGTATAGACGAACATTCAAATACATACAAAGAGTAGCTAAACGGCAAAGTAACCCAGGGTCAAATGGGTATTTCATGCTGTAGACTATCAACGTTATGCCTGGCGCGACAACGTACTGCATTGCTACGTAGTACACGCTAATAAATAACGAATGCAGATTTAAATGTACGTGTAAGCCTAGACATATCTTGGCGTCAAGATTTTTTTCATTCAGATTAAAAGAAGAAGAAGAAAAAACTATAGCTTCCCAGCTTACTGTTTTTTGCTAATTTGCAGCTGCCCCTCCAGCCTTGTCGCGAGGTCCTTCGTTTCGTCGACCTCTTTCGCTGCTTTGAGCAGTTTTGCAAGCTCTTTCTTCGAGCAGTTGGGTTGCAGCCACCGAGAACATGACCTCGTCCGCAGTCTTGGGATCCAGCTTCGTCACGTAAGCTGCCCACCAAGTTGGCTCCGGTGACTCAAACAGCAACGAATGTAGCCGGTTCAGCCTTAGTCGATTGAAAGCTTCCATCGCTGCGATCGGTTTGCTGAGCCACATCTGCTCACGCAATCGCCGTCCGAGTTCCTTCGTGCGACTGCTAGCTTCTGCCTTATAAACCATGGAGCTGAGTTCTCTTTCTGTTGTGGTTTAGAATAAGTACCAGCTTTTGACATACCGATCGGAGTTTCTAATTTCGGATAGAAACAGATGCATGAAGTACAAGAACTTGATTTTCGTAAAGTATAATAAGGATAAGTGAGTTTACTGAGCTCCCCCAGTTTACTAGGGCTGTAGGAAAAGAGAACCCGACCGGATGAAGAAATGGAGTCGGCCCCACTTTCAAATTGGCCCTCCGTCTGACGGTCTACAACTACAACTACACTAAGACAACAACATGTCAGATGCTCGGTTGAGTGTCTTGACCAAGCCAGAGAAGACCGTGCCGGGCGGACTGGAGAAATTCTCCGGAAAGCAGCTACTTGGAAAGTCAAGCTACTCACGCACGTGGCCCAATTCGATTTGGAGGCCGAGAACAAGCTACTCGAAGCCGGTGACCCGGGCCCGAAGGTCTGCATGAGGGACTTCTTGAAGTCCACACCGACATGTCTTACGGATGCAACCGTAAAAGCAGCTCCGCCCGAAGGACAATTGGCTGTCCGGAAGGATATCATGGTATGGCGCAAGGCGGACGCATCGATGAGGCATGTCCTCAACTCGACCCTCCCAAACTCGTTTCTCTCGTCCCTACCGGACGAGGTGCGAAACATGGAGGTGTGTCTCATTTCGCAGCATCTCGAACGGAAGTTTGCGAATGGTGATGCTGGAGGATTGGTGGCATGGTCGAATCGGTGGACTCAGATTCTGAACTCGAAATGGAAAGACATCATGACCCTGTTCGCGCTGCTCAACCAAGCGCGAACGAGATGAATCGGAAGTCTAAGAAGCTCCTCGGCAAGGAGATGATGACGGAGACGATGATGTGCCTGCAAGTGTTGGCGCAGCTCCCAAGCGAGATTTGGACATCTTTGATTGAGCTCACGGAGGAAGCGCTCACCGCCGAAAAGGTCGAGGTGGCGCTGAACAAGCTGTTTGGTGGCCGATCCCGGAAGCAGATCACGGGAAACGGCGATGCGACAACGGTGGCGCGCATAAGCCATGCCAAGAGTGAGCGTGCTGTGCGTGGATACGACACAAGGAACGCAAGTCAGATGCCAACACCAAGGTTCAGGACGAAGAGTGTTTCTAGTGTTTCGGCCAAGGATATCAGAAGGCGCAATGCGAGCGCATGAAGGCCGACCGCGACCCAAACTGTGAAGGGGGACCGCTTTTCCGCACCAACGTGCAAGCCCAACTTTCCAAGCGGGCGCCCAACGGGACTAAGAATATTGCCACGATGCAGCACGTTGCCAAGAAGCAAAGGACGACGCGTGACGCACCCACGGACGTCGAGATGGAAGGAGCGTTCAAGCTACCCGAGTCGGAAAAGGCCAGATCGGAAGACGAGAATGGAGGCGGTCTGCTGAGTTTCGGTCAAGTCGACACCAGGGTACGTAAGAAGTATGGTGCTTACTTAAATTGGCTACGGCGATTAACAGTTTCGGATGGTCTGTGGATTGTTGATACAGCAGCTGGACTAGGGATAAGCCGGGACAGGAGATGGTTCGAATCTGTCCACACAGGTTCGAGTCACCAGTTTGAGTATGGAAACGGTAGCACGTCGGAGACTGCTTTAACGGGTTCAATACAGATGCATATTACAAGTCCTTTCAATAAGTCTATCGGTTTAAAGATAAGGAAAATTGCTCTCGATAAGGAATGTGGGAGTAATTTAATTAGCGCTTATCGTCTAGCCAGACAAGGTTACAATCACGTTAAATCCCGAGATGGGGAGTTTTGTATTTTTTCAGTGAGAAAGGGCAGCTTTTATTTGCAGCCGTTCAAAAGGGAGCAGTATATTATATGCCTTCATCTAAGTACAGCAGAGTTAATGCAGTAAGAAAAAGTTATACACAAGCTCAGAAAATAGCTTTGCTGGAGAAGTGGCATCATAGATTAGGCCACGTTCACAAGGCCAGACTTTTGGCAATATTTAGCAATGGATTAGTTGAAGGAATTCCTCAAATTCCTCAAAAGGATCTTCCTTTCTTTTGCGCTACGTGTGAAATCGCAAATTCCATGCGAATGTCATATCGTAATAAAATAGGATCAAGAAGTAGGCCACCATTGCATGCTTTACATATGGACACCACAGGAAAGATAAAAGTGAATGGAAGATGTGGCGGTTTTGGTTACGCTATGCATTGTCAATTGTAGATGATGCAACGTCCTATAAGTGGGTGTTTGTCATGAAATCGCCAAAAGAAGTGTATGGTCACGTTGTGAATCTCGTACGTCAATTGGAAAAACAGTATCCGTATGAGATAAAAAGAATTCGCAGTGACGGTGGCAAAGAATTTGTAAATAAAAGAGTTTAGGCGTTTGCAAAATCTAACGGCATGTTATTTGAGAAATCTAATGTAGACTCTCAGGAAGAAAATGGAAGTGCAGAACGTTGTCACCAGACGCTAATGAAACAAGTTAGGAGTGCACTATTAGCGGCAGCAATGCCAGCAAGTTGGTGGCCTGAAGCCATTAAGTACGCAGCGGAGGCATCAAATAGACTTCCAACATCTAGACTTGGCCACACATCGCCATATGAGGCGCTAAATAAGAAAAAGCCGGATGGGAACATTTTGCAAATTTGGGGTAGTGTTTGCTATGCTCACATTCCGAGTACCAAAAGAAAAGATAAGAAATTAAGTTCACGAGGACTAGAATGCAAGTTTCTTGGAATTGCAGAAGACTATAAGGGTTGTAGACTGTTAGATACAGCTAATAATGTTTTGCTGATCTCTAGAAGCGTAAGATTCGATACAACCGACCAATTAGCAATTATGAGAAGGTCGTTTCCTAAGCGGGATAAACAATTAACCCTGGACGAAGTAGAGGAAATTGTTGAGTGTACCACCAACGAGGAAGAAGACGAAGAATTAGAATCAGAAGAAGAGGAAAAGGAAGACGAAAAGACGTCTAAATCACCCCAGTCAGGAAGTGTGGGAGCTGTGGGAGATACTATTTCTTCTTTTGACGTCAATGAGTCAAATGCTAGTCACAATGTACCTTCCACACTTGGTATAAATAGTCCACCAACTTTCGTCGGACTGAAGGAGGAAAATACGGAAACAGAATGTGCAAAGCAGCATACGTTGCCGCGCACACTACGTAAAAGACGGCGCAGCCCAAGGCCCAGTGGGTATGAGGTTAATATAAACCGAATTTTAGGCGTAAAAGTTAGTAGGACATGCATTCCTATTCCTAAGTCACTAAAAGCGGCTATATCAGGGCCGTATAGGGAGAAGTGGCTGGGGGCATTGGAAGTTGAGCATAATGCTCTAATTGCAAATAATACCTGGAAAATGGTAACAGGACGAAAGGCATTACGCTGTCATTCGGTCTTGGATGTAAAATATAATGCAGATGTATCAGTTGAAAGATTCAAAGCCCGATTAGTTGTAAGAGGGAATCATCAGACACATAGAATAGATTACGGTGAAATATTTTCGCCCGTGGCTCGCTATGAGTCACTGAGATTAGTGCTTGTAATTGCAGCAGTTGCGGATTTTCATATCCATCAGATGGATGTGTCCACCGCCTTCCTAAATGGCGAATTGTTAGAGGAAATTTATATGATTCCACCACAAGGATTTAGAAACAGGCATAATGGAAAAGTATGTAAGCTACTGAAAAGCCTATATGGACTGAAACAGGCACCTCGGATATGGTATGGGGTCCTGCATAAGTTTTTTACGTCATTAGGTTTTTCTCGTTGCAAAAAGGAATACTGTTTGTACAAGAAAAAGTGGGAGGTTGGTGGAGTAACGGATGTTGTCCTAATATGTGTATACGTGGACGACCTCACCATTGCCGGATCTAGATTATCCGCAGTGAATGAAATTAAAGCGAAACTATCTGCACGCTATAATATGAAAGATCTCGGTGAAGCTCATTATTTATTAAAGATGGAGATCAGAAGAGATAGGGCAACTAGGCAACTTAGTCTATCACAACATAAGTATATCATGGATTTATTAGAAAAGTTTGACATGATGGACTGCACAACGGTTGCCAGTCCACAAGCAGCGAACATTGTATTGGAAAAAGAAACTAAGCTTAGTGCTGAAGCCATTGCAGCGCAGCCATTCGACTACCGTGGACTGGTAGGACCGCTAGTGTATCTGATAAGAGGAACTAGGCTAGATATTGCGAACGCTGTAATAGAATTAAGTAATTTTTTCTCTCGTTTAAATATGTCAGATTGGAAAGCAGCCCAGCGATTACTTAAGTATCTGAAAGGAACATCGATGTATGGGTTAGTATATGAGGGTACTAACAAAGAAGTAACGTATGAGCTATCTACAGATGCGAGCTTCGCAAATGCTAATGAGGACCGTAAATCAGTTACAGGTTACGTGTCTATACTCGCGGATGCGTGTGTATCATGGAAGAGTTGTAGACAAGAGATGGTCAGTTTACATACAGCACAAGCTGAGTTAGCCGCCGTAAGTGAGGGTATTAAGGAAAGTGAGTGGCTCTGGTTATTGCTTAAAGATTTAGGATGGCAGCAGAAGCAGCCGATATATTTTTGGTGCGATAACACAGCTGCTATAAGTATTGTTAAGAATCCTGGAAACCATTCCTCGACAAAACACATAGAGACTCGATATTTGTATGCCCGAGAAGCTTATGAAAGAAAGCGCATCGATATCATGTACTGCAATACAAAAAATATGGTGGCGGATGCCCTTACAAAGGCACTACCACAAGAACAATATTGCAAGCTACGTGAGCTTATGGGTGTGAGAAACTTAGAAGTTGAAATAAACAATGAGAGTGCGTAGTAACCTTAAGGGATATTTATGCACAGTGAGGCGAGGCCGATGAAACCTTTATCGCCCAGGGGGGTTCGTATAGCGCAGCCCAAGACTTTTCCCAGGGGTAGTGTAGTGGGCCTACCTTGGCTCACTACTACGGCTTACACGTATGCGCACGTGTATGAGGAAGCGTAGGTTGAGTTAAGTATACTCGAGATCCACGAGTATACTTTAAACAAGATAAAGACTCCAAGTAGCGTGTTTTGGTAAAAGATGAGGACTGCTATTTTTGTTTTATGTTTCTGACTTCCTCTAAATGTAATATTCTAAGATAGGAATCCGCCAACGGCTGGTTGGTAGAATTCCAATGCTATGCATGTCGCTCATTGGCTAAGAGATGATGCTCTCAGCCAATAGGAACCCTAAGTCTCTATGGACCACCCGTCGTGGTGGTCGTAAATGTATGTAGCTTTTGGTGTGTCTACACCAAGGTCGAGAAAGTCTTTCGAACCTCTAACAGACGTCGTATCTGTTAGAGTTACAAGTGACTGTAGCCACTTGTGCGTGTAACCCTGTTACACCATCCCCCCCTCAAGGTTAGACGCGCCGAGTCACGGCACGTCAATCAGGAATTTGACCATTCGTCAATTCTTCACGTTGGGAGAAAGAAAACTCGAGCTCATTCCGCAATGAGCTCGCCGCAGAAGAAGACCGCCGCCGCAACAGAGGGTAACCTCTCTGTTGCTCAGTACCATGAGCGCCAGCAGGCAAAGCGCGATGCGCTCGCTGCAAAGGCCGCGTCGGGGACAATCCAGTCGGAGATTGTCCTCGAAGGTTCCTCTGTAGTCAACGACGCCGTTGACTACGAAGACGACGACGTGGAGATGGAAGAGGGCGAGGCCTCTTCTAGCAAGCGCAAGGAGTCTATCGACAGCGATAGTCTCGACCCGCATGCCGGGTCGAGACGCCCTCGTGAAGGAGACGACTCGGACGCTTCGAGCTCGAAGCGTTCGCGCAGCGAGAGCGACACTCCGCTCTCTGCTGCTGGGGCTTTAAGCTCCCCGCGTGAGGTGGCGTCTTCAAGTTCTCCGCGCGCTGCCTGATCAGCGCGCGATCGATGGATGCCGTCTGCGTCAGAGATCGCAGACCGTGTGGGCAACACCGTGCCTCCAAACGAAATCCCGCTGTACGTATGTAGCGGCATCCACGACGATGCTGTGGCGGAGGAGCAGCACTTTGATCCGTTAACGAATCAAAGGCGCGATTATTACATCGGGCTCTTCCACGAGCTCCGGTACTTCTCCAGCAAGAGGACCTCTTCTCGCAGCAAAGTGCCTGAGTGGCAGGCACTTTGTCAAAGTTGGAATGCTTTTGTTGAGAACTTCAACAAGAAACCGGCTGCTTACCGCGAGCGGGTTTAGCATACCCGTGAACGCTTCGAGACATTCTCGACGCGCGGGAGGTTGGAGCAGCTCCACAGATCTTCTGTGGACGCTGGTATTCCATGCGCTGTGCCCGAAGGCCAACAGTGCACGTTGTGTCTTCCGGGTGCGGCGCGCTTGAGCGACCGCGACCTAAACGGGTACACGACGATTCGTGTACCTGCGAGTCTCAAGGATCTCCGTGCCAAGTTCTTGGCACGTGAGGAACGCGACGATCGTGGGGCCTCGGGCGCTGTAGGTGACCACAGCGCTCGCACTACCTTCGCGTCAGCAGTGCGTGGTGAGCTTTGTACTCCCTCACCATTTCCGGAACGTCCTGCAGCAGGACGTCCCGTGGCTCCCATGTATCTTGGTGGGGCGGAAACCCTCTCCAACGAATACGATAACGAACCGGCTGCCGGTTCGTTTTCGGGATACTATGGTTCACAATACGCTCAACAATCCAGCGTGTTGAGCCGCGGGCGTCGCGGGTCGGAGGCGGCGGTGGTGGGAACACGCCCCGGGTATGGTCAACCTGGGGTTGACCTTGGCCCGACGCTCGAGGAGCGGGTCGCTGCTGTGGAGCAGCTTCAGAGCCGCGAGTTCGCCGCGCTGAAGCAGGAGATGACGACCCTGAGAGATCAAGTTGCTCAGGCCTCGCAGACCGCGCCGGACATCTCTGTCGACGTGGGAGGTCGCGTCGCACGCTTGGCCCAGCGCGTTCACGCGCTGGAGCAGAGGTTCGCTCCCGCTGGGGCTTCCGCTTCGGGCCAGCCGAGCTAGGTGGCTCGTGCTGCCGGTATGGCTTCAGCCGCCCGACGTAAAATGTCGGGTGGAGGCGCATGCTAGATGGAATATCTAGTGTGCAGGCGTTGCCATGCCGTGCCAACACCGTGAACGGCCCGATGAAGCGCGGAGCGAGCTTGCTCGCCCCGAAGTCGGAAACTGCATGTTTAGGCAGGCTTTGAGTTGCTAACAAAAC